AGTAAATTCTGTTGCCAGAATTTGTTACTTTGTAATTATTTTGTTTTTCATATTTATACATAAAGCAAAACAAACAAACCTTTATGATATACATATATGTATATCATATGGATTTGGTAGAAGGATTGACGGTTCTAGCCTCCGACTTTCAGTGTCGTGTTGTCCTTGGGGAAGACACTTCACCTGCATTGTCTACTGATGGTGGTCAGAGAGCCCGGTGGTGCCAGTGTATGGCAGCCCCACTTCTGTCAGTGAGCCCCAGAGCAGCTGTGGCTGTAGTGTAGCTTGCCACCTTCAGTGTGTGAGTGTTTGCGTGAATGGGTGAATGACTGAATGTAGTGTAAAGGGCTTTGGTCAAGTCTCCTGACTTGAAAAAATGCGCTATATAAGTACGGGCCATTTACCATTTTCTAATTAGGAATGTAAAGTTTAATGATTGCTTTGAATGATATTTAACTCAAACCTTAATGATATCATACCAAACCCAGGTTTTCAACAATCCAAGGGAACAAGGTATCTTAAACAAAAACAAGAACCTCTGTTACCTCATAGTTTCACTAAAAAGAAATATACAGTTTCTTTTTATAATTTCAAGCACCTCTGTGGGACTGAAACTGTTGATATAGTTTAGTGCAGGGTTACCAACCTTTTTATGAATAGGAGCTACTTCATGGGTACTGAGTCACAGGATGGGCTACTAATATTGACCTATGAACTGGAGGAGTCCGTGTTCACCTAAACTTCATAGATAATAAACATATTTCTATTGTTTCTTTACATTTCTAATTTGCCTCTAGATATTGTCATTTTCAAATCCCTGTAAATGCTTATATGTTTTAAATGACTGATATGATGAAACACTCTATAAATGATAAAGCATAACAGCAGCAGCAAAAAATAACATTCAAACTTAGTCCACTGGTAAGTTGCTCTGTTTTCATAAGATGCTGAGGGCACTCCATGTGGTCCTTGAGGGCCCCTTGGTGCATCACGGGGGTGACCCATTGGTTTAGTGGATAGATAGTGGTTACAAAAAATGAAAGCTGGATATAATTTGTGTTGCAGTGGTTACAATTTATTGCTAAATAATCTTTTTCAAAATGTGATAAAATAAAGCAAAATAAAATACATTTAAGAACAGAGATCAAACCAAAATAATTATAGGTACCCAATGTGTTTGAATCTTAGAAAGTAGATCATGGAAATGATTATTTCAAAAGCTTTGACCTTGTGAGTATAAATGTTCACACGGGCTGTAAGAAATGTCCACGTCAAGTATGAGCATCAACTTTCTGTCCAGACCATTTCATTTTACCAAGATGAATATAAAAAAATAAACAGAAGTTGAAACATGTGAAATGGCAAAAGCTCAAAAAGATCCACCATCCTTTGGATAGCCGAAAAGGTACATAATGGCAAAGGGGTGAAATTAATATTTATTTATTATTTCGTTAGTATATAAAACCAATTTCTTCCCCATATTCCTTTCCATAAATTTGAAAAATAACAATAAAACACAATTTATCAGATTAAAATGTTTGACTTTATTCACATCTACCAATTTCACCTTTTAACCCTCAGATGTTTTCAATGACTGACCTGTGTGTTTTTAGAGTAGTTTCAGAGCCGACCCCAGGCCTGCAGGAGGCCAGGAGCCCTGTCATTAGCTCATACAAAGCCATTGTCCTCTTAATGAAGCTATTGTGTGAAGAGATCCCAGTGCTTGGGATTACCCCGACTTTAGCAAACAATGGATGAATGTGTGTCTCTGTGATGCAGTGAGTATACCTGAGGTGGGGTTCAATCATTTGTGATCAATTATACTAAATTAGTCATTTTACCCCTTTTCTGTCTTATACCATTGTTTTTTTTTATGTATCTTTTTTATATAATTTCTAATTGATTAAATGGATCAAATAATCTTTGAGTGGTGCAAAGACAAAGTTTTAGATTGGTAAAATGCTGCCATGCACTTTTCAGACAAGTTTTTGTGAAAGGGTTTGCATTTCAAAACGACTTGAATGAATTTTGTTTATGAATGCCTTCAGTCTCTATATGGAAATACACTGAATTCTGTTTTAGGTTTAGTTTAACCGTCAGCAGGAGTAAGAGAGTGTCCACGTTTGCCGGCTTTGCTGAAGATCACCCGCTATCCTCCCTTGTCCAATTTGCTTTCCACAGCACCTGAGCTCATTCTGTAGATGTGTGTGTGTATTAGAGCAGGATTGCTAGATAAATACAGGTGGGGTTCTTTTCTTTCTGCTGCAGCAAGCTAAAGAGAGATCAACAAAACAGACAAAGAAAAGGAAGTTAAGCTGCTCTGTTCAAGTTTTTTTTTTTTTTTTTTTTTACTCTGTTTCTACTATTTCATAGTTTCCCAGTTAAATCAAACACAGGGATCTGTTAGGGTCTGTGCTTCAATTAGTCATTGGAAATTCTACATGTATTGAAAAAACTGACTACTTCTTTGAAGACATGAAAAAAATGGCACAGAGATTTTAAACTATTGATGAAACCACACACACAGTTCACACTGGCACTACAAAGATAGGTTAATTTACTTTTATACTGCTTTGTTTTCTCATGCAGTTTAAATTTTAACCTAAAACACTCATAGTTTCAAGACTTTGCTTTTGTATTTCTTATTTTTATTCATTCAGTTTATTTAGCCTATATTTTGGCTAAACTAACAATTATATATATATGCAATCAGACATAAAATACCTTAGAAGAATCACATTTACATCTCAAATTAAACAGTTAAAACTTTTCTTCTATTTCATCCTTTTTGAGTGTTTTTAATGAGCTAAGAAGTAGGAATTGATTCCCATTGTGCATTACGGCTTTGATTTGAAGCACATCAAATAAGAAAAAATTTAAAAAACTGCCCACCGAGGGTGGAACATAAAGAATTGTTGGGAGATACTATAAAAAGTCTTATTTACACTTGACTAAAGAATATATAGAAATACGTTGAAGAAGGTCTGGTGTAAGATGAGAACAAAGTTATATATCTTAATGTACATTGAAAATGCTATGTCTTACATTAAGCTAACAATGAACATCACTGTGATCGTAAAGAGTTATCCCCAAAGTAAAACATCAAGTCAAGTCAGCTTTTATTGTCATTTTCTTCATATGTACAAGACATACAAGGGAAATGAAATTACGTTTACTCTCTGCAATATACAAATATATATAATAAAACATGGTGGTGGCTGCATGATGCTGTGGGGTCAGTTTTCTTTAAATGGCACAAAGGAGTAGATCAAAGCTGATGGAGCCTCATTCAGTTTAATCGTGGATAAAAAACTATTTATAGATTATCCATGTGCCAGAAATGTCCAGTCATAGTCTGAATTTACATCTGATTGAGAATCTGTAGCCTGAAAACTAATGTTCAAAGATGTTCTTCATATATTCTGACTCATCTAGAGCTCATTTTTTAAGATTTCTTTGTCATAAAAATGTCTGACTTTAAATGTGAAAACAGACGCAAAAAGACTTGCAGAAACAAAAGCTTTAAAACCTTTAAAAACTGGTTTCTGAATACATAAAGCAGCACTGAGTAGCAGGCTGTGTTATTACTCTGAAGTCTGTTTGCTTTACACATGGATACAACAAGAACTACTTTTTAACAACAATTTGGAAAGTTCTTTGGATTACAAAAAAAACCCCAAAAATTTGGTTCATTTGTGTAAGAGAAGCTGAAAAGTTAGCGAAGATATTAGTTTTATTCTTTATCTAAATTAAAACAAGCAAATGTATGCAGTAAAATTGGTTAAAAATGGATGCATCTTGGGAAACGCTGCATATAATTCTGTAATATTGTTTATACAAGCTTTTCCACTGCACATTGAAAATTTGCCTGTGTAGTCTTTAGGTAAAGGACACATCATTGTTTAAAAATGGAAAAAAACAAATGTCTCATATGACTTGACAGCATCAGTTTAACTGCCCTCAGCTTGTTCTGTAGAATCAGCTTTGATACTGTATGGTATTGTTTTTGCTCTCAGTCTCCATGCATTGTTCTACCCACTATTATTTAATACAGAGATGCATTGTTAACTATACTCAGAAGGAAAAAAAAAGCTCTGCTTGACAAATCAAAATATATTTAAAGTTTCCCCCCTTATCTTCTTATTTCCCTGCATCACCTCCATCTGCAGGAATGTCCGTCGTGTGGGGGCAGGACAGCTGAAAGAGTGAGAGCGTCCGCCGTATAAGCTGTCACAGGCAGGCATGGGCAAGACGTGAGAGTGAGGGGCCACGAGGCCTCCAAATACCTTCCCCCTGAGCTGGAGTTTGTGAGCAGATACTCGTTCTATGACAGAGGTGAAAGGTGTATCCTACATACCAGGAGTGTTTTTCACAGTGGGAGAATCTTGTCTGGACTTGGCCAACCTTAGGTATCTGAATGGCACCACAGGGATGGAGACTTGTGCTGTTTAGTGAGAAGGGTTTGAGATGAAGATCAAGATGTTTGATTATAAATAAACACCTAGCGAAGATCAGAGGACTTAAAGTTAAATGCATGTATGGATATAATCACCTATATACAATTTGTCCAATCAAGGCCATCATAACTAAAGTCTCAACTTCTGTTTACCTTTTTTTAATATTTTCTTGATAAAATAAAAGATCCTTTTCAACAGTTATGTAAATAAAGAAAGCTTTTTTTAATAGTAAGCATCCTAATGTAACACAAACTGTAAACCTGAGTAATAACGATTCTATTTCAATCAGTTCATGCATTTTATGCGGTTCATTTAGACGTTTTCATCTATCTAATTTACTTTAATAATTTCACATTGATCATGTAGCTCTCAGAAAAATGTGTTTTTTTTGCTGCATATGTTTACAGGAGCAACATAAGTGTGGCCTCAAAAATTATATAAAGAAATATTTGGTTGAATTTTCACAACAGAATTATATTAAAATATTCAAAAATATGTTTTAAGAACAACCTTTTTTGTTGTTAGGTTAGAAATTATGTGGGGTTTTTTTCTATATCAGATAAAATTTTATGGAGGAAAATCTGTTTAATCTTTATGAAAGGTGTTATGGTTTTCCTTATTTTAAAACTTAAAACACAAATATACTGTTGCTTGTTTAAAAATGGAAGCAGATTTCCTATAGCAGATATTTAACAAAGATAAGAAGTTGTATTTTGATAAAAGATCATAATTAGTCAACAAAGCTTCAATATTTTTTTAGCTTTAAACAGCTTTTATTAAGCTGGCCTCGAGGCAAAAAGGATTCTTTGGATTTTGAAAGTTGCAGACATCTGGTTTAGATCAAAGCACGTCCATGTGTTAGAACGGCCTAGTCAAAGTCTAGACCTAATTCTAAGTTTGTTCATTGGACAAAAGCTCCATGCTGTCTGACGGAGATCAGGTATTATGGATTAGAGTCTGGGTAGGATGGGAAAAACTATAAAAACTATAAAAACTGTTTTACCCAAGTCATATAAAGTCAGAATCATCTATACTCTAGTTTGTGATGCTAATGTAGCAAAAACGTGTGGAAAAGGTTGAAACAGTATAAAGATAATGATAAGGTATTAGCATCTTATAACATATCAACAGAACCATGCTTCATAAATCTTTTAATCTTTTTGTATTTAAGAGCTTCATCATGAATAGTTTAGAATATATTTACAGTAGAGTGAGCTTTGTATATGATAGATGCATTATCATAACAGTTTAGTTGCTTGGTCAGGCAGGAATAACCTGTCTGGAAGATTGAAATTCTGCTGACTTCACCCACAAACAGACACAACTTGCACAAAAATCAGAGAGCTGCTGCTGTTAGTGAGCTGTCACCACCTTCACAATCACCCTCTGTCCCACTGGGTTACATCTGACTGACCCTAAAACCTTGCCTCTCCCTGTGTTTCAGTGGTTTTCAGGTATGGAATGAACCTTTTCTCCCCCTAAAGACATGGTTCTCCCTCTCTGGCTCGGCTACAATGACCCCAAACCACTCAGAGGTCATCCATGGTTAAATGGTTAATTTTATTCAGTTTCTTCCCATCCACGTGGGTGCACTACTCATCCTGATCAGGCCTTGTGTACAGCCTGACTGGTCGGGCAGCATTGTGGCATGTTGCAGCAACAGCAACCTGTGGCAAAACCTGTTAGTTTGGAAAAAAAAGGGAAAGTGGGAGCATGAGAGAGAAAGAGAGAGAGGAAGTGTCTGACAGGGAAGGTGAAATCCTACTTCCTCTTCCTTCAACAGCCTGTATGAAAGCAGGGAGGTCACATTCAGTCCTGACAGATGCTGTTTGGTGTCTCTGTGGCCTCCTGCAAAAATCTTATAAAACAAACTGGAACCAAATAGGAGGGGATAAAGAATCTGGCTGTCTGTGGCAAGCCCCTGCTCATTCATAACCACAAAGCCCTGCCAGATAATACTCTCCCCTACGCTACTCAATAGCTGACACCTGCAAGATTTGCTTTCACTCAAGCCCTAAGGCTGGACAACCCCACCCCAAAACCTTTAAGCAAGCAAGTCCATGCACAACATCCTCCAGGGTGGTGAAGGGGGATCCTGAGCAGTCTGTGGCTTTTCTCATCTTTCCTCCCCTTCCCTTCTTTCTTTGTTTCCACTTTTGACTCTGTTCTTTAAAACATAATCACATCCTTCTCTCGAGAGAGATATTTTCTCCCCCTCGTTGACAAAAGAAGTGAAAAAGCAGAGGTGTGATAGTGCGTGTGTGTGTGTGGGTGGGGGGGTGGCGGAGGAGGATGCAGAGAAATACAGGAGAGTTTTCTCACAATGATAAGGTTTCTCCTATAAGGAAATATTCACACCCATCTGCCAAGAAGATCCCACAATTGGTCATTAAAAAAAATGTATATATTAGAATATACTCTGAGTGAATCTTCCTGATGTTGATCCAGACAGCTTGTCTCTGTTTGACTCATGTGATAACTGGAGCTGGGCTTTATTTACATATTAGCTGAATTTAGTCAAATGCGGAGAGTCTATGAAGAGCTCCACTGTTCCCACCCACAGATCCAAACCACTGTCCCACAGAAAGTTGAGATGAAGATCTAATGCAGTCATTTCAGCCACTTATGTTTACTTTTTGTTGTTGGGATTCAAAACAAATGTCACCAAGTTAGCAGTATTGGACTGTAGTCCTACTGCACAGATGCCCTCTAGTGTAAGTCCAAGGGAAGCTCTAATGTATAAGTCTCATGTTTAGATGTTTGTTTTTTTATGTGTGTGTGCATACCAATCTGGAAAATGTTAACTCATACTTTATTCATCTCACTATCATCTAAACTTAAAAAAAAAACACCTTTTCCTGCAATTAAAGGCTTTGACAATTTTATTTTTTTAGTTTTGTTCAACAACAAACATATTATGGAATATTTTAATAAAAATTAGTTTGAATTCGGTAAAATCACTGAAAATCTAATATGTTTAATTTAAAAAGTCTTACATGATTTTTATATTTAAAGAAAGACAGTTTCATTATCTTTTTTATTTGTCTTGTTCTAGAGAGACCTGTGGAGCCACAAGTGGCTCTTTAGATTCTCTGCAATGGCTCTGAATAACTGTCTAGAGGGACATAAGGAAGCAACTAATGCAGTGTAATACCAAGCGTCAATTTTAGAAGCTTTTGAAAGTTTTTTTCAAGAATATTTGATAAAATTTTCAAAACTTTGAAAATATCAGAAATACTTTTTAGGTCTGCTTTTCTTGTCATTAGCTGTGCAGTTATGTGATTTGTTTTTTCCAAATCAAATAATATCCTATGAAAGAAAATCCATACTTCGTCTTTAAGAATCTTTTTCTGTTTCCTATTTTGAAAGCTAAAATGATAACACATGAATAAGTGAAAATGAAATATTCTCATTTTTTAATACTTTGTTCTGTACAAAGTTGAATGTACTGACAACAACATCACACACAAAATCATTATTGATTATTTAATGAAGGCCTGGATTTGGAGTCAAAGACAATTTTAAAGTTGAAAAAAAAAAAAAACAAGAACAACAAAAAAAACAAGGCTGATACAAGAGCTCAAAATGAGGCTCAGTATTGCGTGTGGCCTCCCTAAAACGCCTGGGTATGCTTCTGATGAGGTGGCGGATGGTCTCCTAAGGGATCTCTTCCTCCATATCTGGACTAAAGCATTTACACAACAGCATGTGAAAATAATTGTAATTCAATGTTGCCTCCTAAGTGAAAGGTTTTTTTTTTTTTCTAGAATTATTTATTAATTAATTAATGAATGTTATTATTGATATTCAAAATCAATATTTTGATTTTGCTAGATCATAATTTAGTGTTTTTTTTTAATTCATTATTACGATTTTCAGTTTGTGTTATTTGAATTACTAGTCTAAATTTAATATTTTCTTTTATGGGAGCGCAATGGTGTATACTGCGATATTGTGTTATTTGCTCATCTATTTTTATTTGGAAAAAAAGAAAAAATTGTTTTGAAACGTTTTACTGTAGAACAAAGAAAGAAAGAAAGAAAGAAAGAAAGAAAGAAAGAAAGAAAGAAAGAAAGAAAGAAAGAAAGAAAGAAAGAAAGAAAGAAAGAATCAGAATGCGAAGCAAACAATGTGCGCCACAAGGGGGCAGCATTCCATCTGCTAAGTAGTTGTTTCCCAGGAAGGCTATTTCCGCCAATGTTTTCTGCTGCTTTCACGGTCCCCTCCAAACATCGAAAAAAAAGTCAAAACTTGACAATGTCCATCATGAGTCACGTCGAAACGTTATTTTACTTTATTATACTATAGAAAATAATTAGTTTTCATAATCATAAAACTTCAGTGACATTTTGTCCTAATGGTCTTATCAGTACAAGATTTGGAAAATGCGACTGCCAGCATTTTTTAGTCTTGCGAGAGTCTTTGAACGTAGCATAGACGGTAACTCCTTGCCCCTGGGAAATCAGCAGCTGTCACATTTCTGAGTTACAAACGACACGTTCTTTCGTGTTTCAAAGGTAATGTATTATGTCTTCATTAATAACCTTGGCTTTTAGTGTTAGGTAGGCAATGTTAATAGCTTACGAAAGCTTTTAGGTAAGTTAACTTCATGTGGTTAACCAGGTTTTCACACATTAAGCTAATAACCGTCTCTTAACTGCTAACAGCTCGAAATAAATAACAGAAAAGGTGTTAATTTCGGTCGTCAAGAAACCTCAGAAGATATATGTGGAAACACGTTTCCTTGGTGCTGGAAACAATGTTTTAGTTTGGTTTATTATGAAAGAACACCTTCAGTTAGCTAATGCTTGCTACATGTATAATGCTAATTAGTTACTCTACTGTTAATAAGATACACCGAAACTACCCATTTATTTATGGATAATTTATCACCATGCCCAAAGGAACTGTTTAAGATGAGCTATTCTAAGGAACTGTCAAACGTTGTCACTTATGACCAAATACAAAGGTTAGATCAAATAACAGGGACTGATAAAAGTTGTAATGACAACAGGTTGGAGTCACTTAATGTCTGAGTTTAAAGTCTGGAGTTTAAATGCAGGATTTATTTTATTGTTTTTTTTTTTTAATAATTAGTTTTCTCTAACAACTTTTAAGTTACAGGTATAAGTCTATCATAAATTTGATTATAATCGAAAAGCTCCCATTTATCAGATTTCCTTTTAATACAGGAAGTAAATGTTACTTAATATGTTGATTCATTACACAGAGAGCTTTAAACTTTGAGGTTTTTTTTATGTGGTTATACAGTTAAGAGATATTACACAAATAAGTTAATTTCAATAATTTTAATATAAGATTACATATATTAGACAGTTTTTAGCACTTTTGCCTCACAGCAAGAAGGTCCTGGAGTTAAATCAGGATCTGATGTCTTTTTGCCTGTTCTGCCCATGCATGCATGAGTTTTCTTTGGGTCTGCAGCTTCTATCCAGAAATCCGAAACATGCCAGTTCAAGGTGTTTTGATGCAGGGTTTGTTTCTCCATGGTGGACCAGTAAACTGTGTAACCTGGACCCTGGCTCTTGCCCATTGACAGTGGAAGATAGGTACCGTGCCAGTAAGCCCTATGAAGACAAGCTGCTACAGACGTTGGCTGGTTGAAGAAAAGGGACTTTTTTTCCCGCCATGATATTTTAGGGCTTACATAATCCTGTGGAAAAGGGAGACACCCTTCTAAAGCAGGTTAAATCATAAGGGTTTTGTTAAGTGATCCTTCTTTTCAGTCCTGTATTCAGGTATAAACATGGAAAGTTGAGAGGAAGGAAAAAGTTTTTCATAAAAGGTACAGAAGTAACAAGGGTGACTACAAGCTTGAGAGGATGAGGTGAAGCAATCCCACTCACGGTCATTTGGGGAGAGAGAGTCTTTTACTTGGACTGTAGAGAAAGGGCTGGAAGGTTGCTCGGTCTTCCAAAGACTTCCTTCCACGTTTACTTTAAATGTCGAAATCTCAGAGTCTAGAAGAAGAGAGACAGAACCCAGTGTAGATTGAAATTTCCAGAGCGAATTATGATCTAGGGACCTTTGTCATGTGCTGCACTCCGAAGCCAATATCAGGAAATCCTAGAACCGACATTAAGTTATCCTTGGTTCCCTGATCCGCTCACTATTTCTGAAGAGTGACTTTTTCTCTGATTGTTTTCAGGCTAGAACACATTAGTGCACTTATTCAAACAAAATTAGCCCCAGACTAGCATTGAGTGAATATACTTTACAATGCATTTACATAATTTGCATCAGGCTCCCGCTTGTTTTTATGAAGATAAAAAAAAAAAAGAACGAGTGACCCTAAATTTAATTTTAAGCCATATTGACACACTGATAATAATGGTTAACAGCTCAGCTGTGGATTTATCCCTGCTGATATTTCTTTGCAATATTTAGTAATGATATTGTCCACTGCAGTTTTTTTCCTAATATCATGCAGTCTAAATTGCATAAATATTACTGAGAACGAAAATGTAAAACAAATGGATTTTTAATGAAAACATGAGCTAGATCAATAAATGGATGTCCATTCACCCATAATGTATACTGGCTGAACCCTGCAGGGTTGCAGAGGGGGTGCTGTCTGTCTACAGTAGGCATTGGGCTAGAGATCAGTCCATCCTGGAAAGGGCTACTATCAATCCAAATAAAGTTGACCAAATGGTTATCTAAGCTAGAGATCTGTTATAGAAACCTGACAAGTTGTCTCCTTTTTAGAGGAAGCTAAAAACTCTAAGAAGATATCTTAACAGTAATGTGTTCTAAAGCTGCTTGATCTTAAATCAGGGTATAAACATTATAGTTTAATAATTTTTGTTCAACATTGTTGCATCAAAAGGCATAACCAGTTTGCATTTGTTTTAAGGAAAAGTCCGGTCAGCAAGAAATATAGTCAATGGATCATTATTTATACCTAAATCTAATACGTTTGCGGTGATTTAATGAATTTAGCGTCAATCAGTTAAAAAAATTAAAAATAATAATTCTGTATATGATCAGAGTCTGGCAGCGGCCATTTTTGCCTAAATATAGAAACGCCATTGAAATTTGCAAGAGCTAAAGTTGCTGACAATGCCCACGTGCATGGCAGTTGGATGTTTTAATACATCAGGTAAAAGTGGGAAAAAATGTGTGGTTTTATTGCCAACTTAAACATGGAGGATTTGCCATCAAAAAAAAAAACACAATATATAGCAAACTTTTCAAAAATGAATGGTTTCAAGATGACTTATAGCTCATTGTGGCAAACTCCAGATACAGCACTGGGAACTTGCTCAACAGTCGATACCGCATCGTGACATCACAGACTGGTAGGTGGCAGTAGTGTTCTTTCACAAACATAGATGCCTCCAGTAAAGCACATTCAAATGAAAATTACTCTTCATTAAAAAACACTGATTATTCATTGAACATTATGTAATAATTTTATATTTAAAGTACTTTCAGAAGTTTGAATTCTGAATATGACCGGAGTTTTCCTTTAACACCCTTGAAAGAAATATTCACAGTCACTTAAGTTTGCATTTTTATTTGACCCTTTTCAGAAAGCTATTTTATTATTTTATTACTCTTACATTTCAAAATAAAATGACAGCATTGCCTTCACTGAAGTATGTATTACAAAGTTTTGTATTTATTGAAAGGCTTTTATGTTTCAAGAGTTCACCTTGGGCAGTGTTGTTGTATACCTTTTAGCATGTTTATGATCTTTGCATCTGTTTGCAAAACGGCTTCTGTTTATATTAAAATCTGTTTAGAGCGGTTCTTCTTCTTTCTTTTTGGACTCTTTTACATACAGAAATGGTTCGGTTACACTGACCAGAGATTTACAAATCATTCTCTAAAATACACACAAGATCATGATAAATTATGATAAATTTTTGCCATATCACCCACCCCTACATCACAGGATATTTTAAAGAGAGACATGTTTATCTAAGCTACATTTCTATGGATTGTGGAAGCAAGCTTGAGTTCCTTGAGAGAATCATGCATTCTCCTGGAGAACAAAGATGCTATAGACAAACCTAAGACTTTCTTACTGCAAGGAGAGTGTGCAGCTTATCAACTACTTTTATTTTCCTTTTTTGTACATGTTTTAAAGTAATTTTAAGAAGTCCTTTTTGTTGTTGCTGTTGTAAAAGGAATATTTTAACTATTTAACTTAAGACCACTTCACTAAAATCATTTTATCATCAGGCTTAAAAAGGCTCCAAAAGAAAAATGAGTAAAAAAAAAAACAGAAAAAAAAAACTGTTCAGGGATGCTCTTATCCAGACCTTCAAAAAGCATAAAGTAGTGTTGATAAAAAAAAACGTCCTGCACCTTGTTCACAGAATCTTTTAGTGGAATAATTATGTTAGATGAACTGTAAAATTCTCTCTACAATAGCAAAGAAAATTGGAAACACAACAAAATAATAAAATGTTCTGGAACAATGCTTCATTATTTACCGGCCTTTTGGCTTTATGGCCTCACAACTGTTATCAGAGGAGAATCTAACCTCCACCAAGGCCAGGTCAGATGGTAATGGCTCGCTTTTCTGTCTTGACTCCTCATTCCTGCATAGCAACACCTCAAAGGATGTGTCTGAACCTGGTTCTCCTGGTTGTGGTTTAGAAAAGTCTGCTTCTAATATCTTTACAAGTTAAAACCATTAATATATTTTTTGTGTAAATGAAATTGTTTAGCCCCAGATATTTAATAAGAAATGTTAAAATAACTTGTGTTGTTTTATGCATGGTTATTCTCCTTAAAGAAGTGCTTCAGGGTGAGAGGAAGGCTAGGAAACGAGTATTTATCCCCAATTGGCATGGGTACAGCTTGCAGCATGGTTTCCAGACAGCACAGGAGCCAAAACACGATGTGATAAGATCTATTCATTTGTTTATGTAACTGTTCACCAGTGTGCACTTGTAGCATCAAGAAAGGTGAGGAGGTGTTTGCAGACAGAAGAGAGCTACAGCTAATACAGGCTAGTTTACAGCAAAGTGGTCGTCCCATGGAAATAACAGACAGATGAAACATAGATTTGACTAAAGGAAAAATATTAGCTGATGATGGAAGATAAACAAGAAGAAAACATTGTTAAGAAATTATCAACATAAATACAAATAAATGTAAAGGATCAGAAGAGTTGTGTTTAAAAGGGCTGTTTTAAATAGTCTGAACCTTTATGCTTTTGTCTGATCTTAAAGCCCCAAATTCAATCAGTCCCTCCCAGATCTCAGCCCCCAAAGAAAACTGTACTGTATTTTAGAACCTAACAGACTGTTGACCATTTCATTCATCTTCTTTCAGCTTTTATGATGCTTCTTCTCCTATCTATGATTTAACATTTCCACATCCTTTATTAATCCTTAATTAATCCGCTTTTTTTCCCACAGCATGGCACGTGGGCACCAGAAAATTCAGTCCCAGCAGAAAAATGCCAAGAAGCAGGCAGAAATGAAGAAAGCCAAAGGTCATGATCAGAAAACGGCCGCCAAAGCAGCTCTGGTGTTCACCTGCAGTGTCTGCAAGGTACGTCTGGCACCACAGACCATTGGTTAATCAGGCAAACTCTTATTTATGGAGCATTTTGAAGCACACCTAAAAATACTTGATAAAATTGTGGGGATTATGCAAGAGGAAGAACAGACAAAATGAAACTAGGAAATGCATTTCTCCTACTTGGAAATAAATCCTAAAATTGTAATTTGAGTAGTTTGACCCTTCAAATGGTTGTTGTTTGCGTTTAGCTTATTACATTTTTACACTTGGTGTGATCTTTAGCATTAGCTTCATATTTGTCACCCAGAAAGTCAAAAACAAAAGCCTTTATTAAAGCTTAATTTGTAAGAATAGAAGTGTCGGTGTGGCTAAACAAATCTGCTGTTTGTCGGCTAATAGCTTCATATAATGATGCTACAGGTCAACATGACAACCTAATAGGTTAAAGTTCAGTTTAATATTTACTTGGTTCATTTTATGACATTTTTCTTTCCATTCAGTCACAGATGCCAGACCCCAAAACCTTCAAGCAACACTTCGAGAGCAAGCATCCCAAATCCCCCCTGCCCCCGGAGCTGGAGGGAGTGGAGGCATAAACAACCTGGATTTGATAATGAAGCCTCCGATTTAGCTCTGACCGCGCCGACAAGAAATGATTTGACGTTGCCAACATGACCGCCTCCTGGAAGTCCACTGCTACCTATGTGCTTATGTTTAATGACATGCACCACTAAATCCAACTGGGGTGTGACTCCAGGGCCAATGTAAACCTGTACATTCAATAGGCCCAGTCTCACTGCCTTCATGTTTTTTACGCCTATTTCTTCTATTGCTTTGAAGGAACAATCAAACATTAACTACATCCCAGATTAGATAAAGTGACTTATCCTAACAAAGCAAATTGGTTTGGCTTGGGTGGAAAATTCATGCGTTTGTCTTTGCTGCTGTTAAAAATGACCTAGTTTATTTTAATTGTACTTTGAGTGTTCTAATCAAATGGAGGCCTGCACACTGTAAATCCTCCCAGCAGCTCTGTGTGCCCTGCTGTACTGCAATCGTCCATCCAGCTAATCAGAAATTCACGCTTGGTTGTAAAATGTGAAACTTTGCCAGCTGCCCAAGCTGCTGCACAGATTGTTAGTAAATTAATTGATAGTGGAGATTGCTGGCAATATCTATGTGCCTGTAAAATGAATGTACGCTCCAATAATGTATCATACCATTTTAATAAAACTTACTTTGTTACATATGTGTTTTTTTTTTGGCAAGAAATCTCTTGTCTGACAATTGCATGCAATCATCATAGCTGTAAATCTCAATAATAATTGTTTAATAATTGATTGAAGTCATAATTATGATGGGTTTTCTCCAACTATTGCAGAGAGAGACATGGCATGAATAGTTAGCCTCCTTAGTCATGAACTCTTGTGGCTTACCAATCCTATAGCTCAGGGTTTCTTAACCCTGATCCTCAGGGTCCATTGTCCTTAATATTTTAGGTGTATCTGCCGCTATATACCTGATCGTAATGTAAAGGGAATTAGGATTTTGCAGCATATGATGGCTGCTGAGGATGTAATGCAATCATTTGAATCAGATGTGTTTGAATTTTGACAGATGACTCTGAGTACCAGGGTTAAGAAACCATGCTATAGAAGATATGAATGATGGCAATTTGGCATTTCTGCGATCTTCCCGATATTGAACCACACTGAAGCAGTTTAACGACACCTTGGGAAACCATTGTAGGTGCTTTGGGTTTAGTAGAAGATTTGAGTTAAAAACAATCATGCCCTGATCAATTTGGGCTGATTTCCCACAGTATTCTATTGTCTGTAGTCCTGCTTCAGTGAGTTTTATAATCTGGAAGCCCAAATTATATAAAAATAAAACATTTATTTTAATCCTTTAAAAGTATGTAAATCTATTTGTTGTAAAGGTCCTGTATCTAATCTTAACCAACTGAACATCTTTCAAATTACCTTAATGTAATTTATGACTTCTTTTAAATTGTAAGTTTGTGCAGAAATATAATCCTTGCTGGCTTTTAACAATCCTGTTCTTATGTATCTTTATCATTACTCACTTTGAACATCAACCTGTAAAAAAAAGTTAGCTTGTCATTGTTTTTCTTGGTAAATATTCACCAATGTGGGCAACTCTGAATTTTTGCTTTAAGCTTCAAATTGATGATGAAGCCACTGACTCCCTCTTGGTCCACGCTTGCTTTAACTGGCCTCAACGTAGATGGTTTTCCACTTCATGACAGGCTCAAAGCTTGTTTTGTTTCTGGGTTGTTCTTGAACATCCTAAAAAGGTCCTTTCATCTGAGGGCAACAGCTTGGGTCAGATGGGTGAGGCTTAAAACACTGATACTACGATAAAAATCTTTTGGGAGTGGATAAAAAAATGCTTGCATTTGTCATTTTAAAAAGTCTGAACCTTATACGTTTTCTTCTTGTTAATTAAGACCAGGGGTCTGCAACCTTTCATATCCAAACAGCCATTTTTCCCCCAAATCAGACTAGAGTAGCACAATACTACATGACTAGTTAATCAAACACAACCTATAGTTTTTATTAAATATCTGTCATAGGGATTCTGTTGACATCTTGAACAACCAAAAGTGTATTGGTATTTTTAGCTTTTAAAATAATGATAAAACACATAATTTCCAAGCTAATCCGAAGAAAAAAGGCTCTAAAAACATACTTCTGATTTTTAATGTAATTCTGTTGTGAAGATTCGTTTTAAATATTCATTATAAAAACACTAAAGCTCCTGACTGGTGTTTGTTATTAAAGTAAATTACCATAGTTAGTTCATGTTCTTTTTTAGCCTCTATAAAGAGCCATTATATTGGGTCCAAAGAGCCACATGCGACTCTGGAGCCGCAGGTTGCAGACCCCTGACTTAGATAAGCTTAGTTTTAAGATTCTAAGCAACTTTCTAAAGGACATTAAACTAAACATACTGAAGCTATATCCATATATGTAAGCTTATGTTATAATAACCTCTGTTGAGTGAGATAATACAGAATAAATTGAATTTGAGTGCATAAACAGTCCAAAATGAATATGACAAAGATGATCAGTGAGTATAAACTTTGCACCATGGAAGCATCTACTGTGTTCTGATGGTATGTGGTGTGGATCATCCACTTCTGTTTGCACAGTGGCTCAGTTGATCGCTCTGTTGCATTGCAGCCAGAAGGTTCTGGGTTGAATCTCTCTTCTAGGCTCTTCAGTAGAGTTTGCATGTTCTTCTCATACATACGTTGGTACAATGGCGTCCTTCGACAGTCCAAATCATAACTGTTAGGTAACTTGGTCTCTCTGACTGATTAATCTGTCACCCTAAAACATTAAAACTACAAAGACATTGCTATCCTCTTAACTGAATTGAAAAGAGCACCAGACGTGTGTGTATGTGGTTGTTGGGCGTGGTTGTAGTTCAGCTGTATAGCAGAGGTGATGCAGTGCATCAGGGAGGGGGATTGGCACAAGCTGCGTTGCGTTTCTGATCAGTCTCTCTGTTCATAATTACAGTAACATGTTGAGGCCTGGCAGCGTGGACAACCCACAAGATCCACAGCATTACCAGACTTGTGTGTTTCAAAACAGGCCTGCTCGAACCACAGGTTAAGGAACACCACTGCTTTTTGGAGCTTTTCTGGTCAAACTTTTTTTAAGGACTTCAACTCCCACCAAATATGTGTGGAAGAAAGCCATATTGCAAATCACCCTAAACATAACATCCTTTCAGTGACAGCTGGTCTGAGCTGATGGAATATAGATGGAGCTAAATACAAGGCACTCATGAAATAAAATCAACATTGGACTTCAGACTTCTATTCTAACAACAACCTTTAATGTAGTGCCAGAGATATCATTTCAATAAAAGTTTATTTAAATGTTAATGCTTGAAAATTATTGATCAAAGGGATTATTCTGTAATCTGACAGAGCTTTAGTTATTTTGCACTGAAAAATAAATAAATAAATAAAAAACAATTACTCTGTGCAAAGCTGTCATACCCCAAAAGATTTGCTGGTGATATTGCACCAAAAAGTGTTTTGACACATATCAAATAATACTAAGAACATGCTATCCTTTTGATAAAAAAAAAAGACAAACATATATTTTTTTACTTAACTATTTTCTACTAGTTGTACCATTTGCTTTCAAAACTCCTCTTGTGAGGAATAATAGTAGTTGGTAAACCACTAAAAGAAAATAGAATGTTTTGCTGCTTTTTGCTTTAAGGGCTTGGGTGAGTCGACTCTGTGAGTCACTGCCTGCATTGTTTCAAGCAGAATTCACATCCTTCCTTCCCATCTGTAAACTTGTGAATGAAACAATACCACACCTGATCATTCATCCAGACATGGGGAAAGAATGAAATTAGGGGGGTAAAAAAAACAGCTTGAGTAAATAAATTTAAATAGGTGAATATTTGACATATTTAGGTGAGGCAATTCTCTCCAAATATTGGAGCACCTATTTTCAGCTAGTTTCTCTGTGCTTGCAGTCTGCTGATAATGAGAAAAATAGAACATGCTTTTATTCAGATCAGTTAAACTTTGAGGAAAGCAACTAAAGTCAGGGACATGCCTATCCATGATAGCAATAATCCTCCTCCTCATGTTGTTTTAGAATGATCTTGCTCCAGTGTCAGAGTATTAGTCATTTTCCAGCTTCTTCTTGCCTGCCTCAGCAAACCTCAAAATCCAAGGCACACCCTTTGGAAAACCTAACTACAAATCACTATTGCACTGTTGAGTCTCAATTCTTGAAGCTAAACCAGTTATTCATCCAGTCAGGAGCCCAGATGATGATCCTGCACTATCCTCCCTATTCTATTACACCCATAGCAAACCTGTGTCTGTGATTACACCCATCTCATCCTACTATACATGGTGACAAAAGTCAGACATGTTTGGAAGAACTGGAAGAACAAGCAATAGGCTCCCCTTAGGCAAAAAGAGAAAGGTATTTGAACACGTGCCATGCAATCAGATTTTACTATATATTTTTTTGCATTCAAAAGGTGATATATATATATATATTCTTTTAAACAAGAAAACAGCATGAATTTGTAATTATGCATTTGGCCATAATATATTGTATGTATTTAAATGTTTTTAACATAACAACACAGTTGTTATTATGTAAACTGAAACATTACTAATCCTTGTTTTAATTTCGTCATATTTTAGGCTCAATTTATTTATATAGTACAGAAGAGTATTAGGGCAACTAAAAAAAGGAAAAAAAGTTAAATGATTCTTAAAATGTTTATTTCAGTTTAATATGGGGAAAAAATCTAACTTTATTCTCAGAATTCTGACTTTTTTCTCAGAATTTCTGACTTAAATCTCAGAATTCGGACTTTTTTCCCATATTAAACTAAAATAAAATTTTAAAATAATTTAACATTTTTTTTATTTTTTTCAGTGGCCCTAATCCTCTTCCGTAATATAGCTATATCTCCATGAAACGGAGATTTTGTTTTGATTTTTTCGTGAGCGCAAAAAAAAGTCCACATTAGCCAAACAGTGGTAAAAATTGGCCTGAAAAATGTGGTTGCCCAGCAACAATACTCTGACGTCATCCGTCCCAACGCGACCCTGCTGCTCTGCGTTTGATTGGAGGGAAACCCCGTGGATGAGCGGGAGAGATCATCAGCTGTGCGGCCGTGGCAGCAGGAGCGACACCGTTTATCGACATTCACAGGTCAGTTTTACGTCTTGCTTTTTCCTTTATTACATCCGATGCGTTGTGTTTTTTCCCCCACCCCAATATGTCGATGAGATTCCACCGCACACGGTGAAAGTGGCTCCCGGCTTTGCGTCGGTCTCCGTCTTTGTCGGACGTGTAGGTGGAAGTCATTGATGCTCCGTTGCTCAGTCATTGTTTGCTCGCCGTCTGCTGAATGGAAGCTCCAATTCGCTGCTTCTTTGTGGCGTTTATTCTTACATTTAGCGTCTCAAGAGGATAGCTTGTGGGTGTGTCGAACCCGCATTAGTGAATGAAGCCAATTTTTAACCGAGCGGTTATAATGAGAAACGTCCGCAGCTCTGTTGTTTTCCCGGAAGGCGAAAAAGGGCGTTCACTGTCAACTGAAGTAAGCTATGGTCCCCCCTTTTTTATAAATATCGCAGTTAAGCCATTAAAAGCATTTTGCTATTAATCACTTCCTGTGCTCACGCGTATAATTGTGAGAGACCGAAAGTATTTTATTGTTTTTTCTTAAAGGCAGCACTAACGTAGCCGGACCTTGAGGCAGGTGTGTGAGAGCGAGCTGAAACTGGGTGGGCGGCATTCCTCAGAAGGGCGCAGGTGTGCGCTGGGAAATCTGCCTTAATGGTGTGATTTTTGAGAAACATGGGATGACTCATGGGGTTTCTTATATAACATTGATTGACAATCTGAATTTTGTTGAATGGAACATCCTGGTCATTCACATTAAATATTAGGTCGAGCTGAAACAACAGGGTTGCATCCGACTCCCCCCCCCCAGCTAAATCACTAGGAGATCACTGGAGATCCTTGCATCTTATTCTCATATTGTTAATTAATAGCCTTTGTTGGTCAGCATGTGATATTGACTTTGCTAGAAAATCAATTAGTCACATATTGGATAGCTGCATCTGCTTACAGTGTGCTGCTGCTTATGTAATGCATTCAGAGGAAGGATGTAGAAAATGTCTTTTAAGATGCTGTAGTAAGCTTTAAGGACAGTTTGTGACTGATCTTTTCATTTACAAAGCTTGCATTTGCCATCTATTTATGCAGATGCAATTTTTTACTGAATAAAAGGAAAAACAAGTTGTCATTACACTCATATATGAATTGTCTTGCCTCCACTTTTAAAAAATATATTTTTGGCACATTTTGCAAAAAATTAAGTAATGTTGTAAAACACCATGGATTATATAATTGACATTTTTTGCAATAATCTCAATCCCATAAAACTGTCATTGTTGTCACATTATAGAAATCTTTGCGGTCCATGCTGGTTCTTCCCTTTCTGCTGAGGTTTGCAAAAGGTTTTTTCAGTTTTTCCAGATCCAGCATGCTTAAAAAAGCCAAAATACCTTTGCATCAATTTGCTCCTTTAATAACCACCAACCTGATGTGGGTCCAAATTACTGTCCTGTAAACTTTTTATTTCCGTTCATAGAAAATTCAAGTAGTGATCATCTGGCCAGAGTTTTAGCTTCTGAGTTTTGACAACAGGCTAAATTAATACCATTTGAATTGCTTCCTATATTTCTATGCTTCCTTGTGTAAATCAGTCTGCGACAAGACAATGGAGTGGATGTGAGTGATACTAGTAATAAACTCAAATTCGCTCATAAAGGTTTTGAAGCACTGGGATTGGAGCCAATGTCAATAAGTAAAGGCAATTTGGCTTTAGCTTAAGCAACAATATCAGAAGGAAGAATAGAATATCCTTTATTGTACCTCAAAAGGTGTTTAACCTGTATTAAATAACAGCCTATCTATTGTGCATGTCTCATAGTAATGTAACACGTTGGGTGTTTTGTCAATGAGTAAGTTGTTACTTAAAAGAGAACTAAATGTTTACTTCCATTGAAAAGTTCCCTAATTCACTGTCCGACCTCACTGGTTCCTGTTTGTCCCTGACTTCCTCTCCTCTATCCTTCCTTCCTCGGGCCACACAGAAGCCATGGCAGACAAGTCCGAGCTGGTACAGAAGGCCAAACTGGCCGAGCAGGCTGAGCGCTATGACGACATGGCCGCTGCCATGAAGGCCGTCACTGAGGAGGGCTCGGAGCTCAACAACGAGGAGCGAAACCTGCTCTCAGTGGCCTACAAGAACGTGGTGGGAGCCAGGAGGTCCTCATGGAGGGTGGTGTCCAGCATGGAGCAGAAGTCGGATGGCACCAAGACTGCGCTGGCAAAGGAGTACAGGGAGAAAATCGAGAAGGAGCTGAATGACATCTGCAAGGAAGTTCTGGTAAGAGCAAAAAGGTTATTGAGGGTGGAGGAAAGAAAGTGACTATCCTATGATTATTGTAAAATTCAGATGGAGTTTTATTAAATCTAAAGCTATAGACAACTGGGCCCAGTCATCTCATCTGAATTTACAGGGCTTCAAAATATTTTAAGCACCTAAGATTATCTTAGTGCTAAGAACATCTTTTATGTTTTGTTTTTCTTTAGTAGTTTTAAAAGATAAATTTGTGTTCTGTCAATGATTCACATGTAAAGCAAGTAGTGACATCTACTGGCTGTATGTGATACTTAAACGAGAAATTATTTGGAGTCTAACATGAAGAGAATAACGTTTTCTCTATTAAAACGCTTCATGAGCTGTTGCTACAAATTTGTTGCTTTTGAACTTTTCGGAGAAATAAATTTTAGTTTGGAAGATTGTTGTTTCTAATGATTCTGTAACAGATTAGCTGATTATTATCATTGGCAGGGATGTTCTTGGGTTCTGATTTTAGAACATTTTATACTGGATTTTCTTTCATTTGTATGTAGATGTTTTTTGAATATTTACCTTGCCTGACATAGTTATGTCCAAATTTGTACATAATGGAGGGGCGACCCCCTGAGGTTTTCTACATTTTTCACAAATTAACATCAGAAAATGTTATCCTTCATTGATACCCAGCAACTGTTACTATGAGAGTGAATAAAATCCGATGTTTGCCATAAGGCAACACAGACCCATCTTGGAAGAAAACCTGCTGGATTCTAGCAAAGAACTGAGACTGGAGTGAATGCTCACATTCCTGCAGGACAACTACTCAGAACATACAGACTGAGCTACAAAACTGCTCAATATCAACCAGCAGAACTTTACACACTCCTTAATTGTGAAGGACTGCTTTGGTTCAGTATATAAGGAGCTATCAGGATTAAGGTGCAATGCATTAAGACCTAGCTTTCCAATAATATGACTGCTCACTTGGATGGACTTTCATTCACCTTTTACCCACAACTGATATGAATCATAGTGACTAATTATAAATGCCATAATGATGAATCTAAAATCTGATGCTCCAAAGACTGTCATTTTTTAATTGCAGCTAAACAAATTTCTGTTTATACAAAAATTGGCTTTTCCTAAAGTTCTGTCTACATGTTTTAGTGGATGTGATTCAAAAGTCTCTGCTTATGATCCATCTAAATGAACATGTAAATTTAAAATGTTACCCTTTGCCCTGCAGGACCTGCTTGACAAACATCTGATCCCCAAAGCTACTCCAGCTGACAGCAAAGTCTTCTACCTAAAGATGAAGGGAGATTACTACCGTTACCTGGCTGAGGTGGCAACCGGGGAGGACAAAGAAAGTAAGTTCTGCACTAAGAGGGAGGAATGAGTTCATGTAGTTATACACAGTTACGGTACTGTATTTAAGCCAAGATTCATCTTGTATTTGTGTTTCAATGCTGCTCTGTTGGATGCATAAGCTAAATTGTCATTCTCAGGTGTTTATGGGCAAACTTACATCCACTTTGTTGATGTACATCTGTCTGCTATAGTGCAGGGATGGGCTGCTGCATTGCAAGCAGCATCATGCTGTTGGCTGCTTTTAATTGCCTGGAGATTTATTTGTATTCTATCAATTAAATAAACTAAAAAGGTGCGAGTTATATTATTCTAGAAAGTGTAGTTTATATGGAGGTCCCTGTGGAAGGCTAAGGGAATGGGTTACTTCCTCTGAAAATCTATAATGCTCCCCTTTTGGTGAATACCAGCCCTGTTTAGTCATTGATCTAGATTTCTCCTGCCTGGATTTCCTGTTGTTAATCAACAGGAAATCCAGGGCTGACTATGTAGCAAGTTAACTGATTTCAAGGCTTGTTGTCACATTTATGTCTATAAAAAATATTTGAATGCTTGTTTAACTCCAAACAAAAAAGAATAATTCTATCTCAGTTAAAAGGATATGAACTTATTCTTTACTGTTTTTAGAGCAGGTCATGTTAACTTTGTTATATCCTTCGTTTTTTTTTAGATTCAATAAATGGATGTATGTTTAAGTGTTGGAGTAATTTGATCCATGTTGATATCTGATCTATAACTGCAGTTTTGTGGCCAAACGTTTCATCCTCTTTTTGATTATCTGCATCTTCACTAGACTTATCTTTCTCTTTATAAAGCCATCATCAATAACTCACAAGAGGCCTACCAGAAGGCATTGGATATCAGCATTAAAGAAATGCCTGCCACACATCCCATCCGCCTTGGCCTCGCTCTCAACTTTTCTGTTTTCTACTATGAGATTGTCAACTCGCCTGATAAGGCCTGCCAACTGGCCAAATCGGTAAGAATCTATTTCAAATAAGGGATTTTGGTCTGCGGGGTTTTAAGAACATGGATATGTTCAGCCAGGGAAACATTAGAAACATGCAGGACTGCGGCTTCACTCCTTTTGACTGCATCATAGTTTTTAAACTTGATTTGTGCTTAAATAAGATATTTTACCCATAGTGGAGGCAATGTTCATATCCCCCCTTAATATGCTAACTATCAGACTGACCCAGTGGTGTTGCTGTGATTCACCTGCAGCTGCCGTAAAACGGCTAAACACAAGAGCAGCAATGCTGCATTTTATTAGGAAGAAACTGGACTACACAGCATCATGACTTAGCAAAGTCTGCTAATAATGTCTTCTAAAAAGTAGTCAGTCAATTCTGAAGTGAGTAGAAATCATGAAGTAGCATCAAAACAAATCTGTTTACATTGACTTCAGTTGTTAAATCCAATCTTGTTTCAGCCGTCTTGAATAATTTTACAACTGTTTATTTTAAGGGGAAAACTAGTTTGGTTAGCATTCATTTATTTAGTTTTCCGTTCTGTTTGTTTACTGTTTACTTTAAATATGGCTTCCCTCATGCCCTGCAGGCGTTCGATGAAGCCATAGCCATGCTGGACACACTCAACAGCGACTCCTACAAAGACAGCACACTGATCATGCAGCTGCTCCGTGACAATCTGACTGTGAGTGACCAACTTCTTTAAGTCCTTTAGTGTCTTGCAAAGAGATTCACACTCCTGCTGACCTTTTCAGACAGAACAGCACTAGTGGATTTTATGCAATAGATTAACACAAAGTAGTGTATAATTGAGAAATGGAATTTATGGAATGTATGGCTTTTAAAATGGACCAAATCTTAAAATTGAGTAATTTCTTAGTATTCAGGTCTCTTGAATCAATAATTTGTAGAATCAGATTTTGCTGCAATTTGAGCTGCAAGCTTTGGCCTGTGACTCTAAGCTGTGTTCATTTTTGTGACGGATTTGTAAGACAAAACTCCAACCCTTAAAATTAAAAGTACCGTTGGAAATGTTAGTAGTTCGATGAGAGCATAAATAGGCCGTGTCTGAATATCTGCCCTCAATCACTATATAGAGCGGGTACTATACAGTGAACCTTATTCTGAACTAGGTTAACTCAATGTTCGAGAGATGATCATAACTTTTCGCTCCCTGTTGGTCACGTGACTTGGCCTCCCCGCATGGTGCCTGCGCCTTCTTTGTTTCAGCTGTTGCTACCAGAATGCGGGCCGCTGTGATAACAAATCCCAATATGCTTTATGGGGGGGAGAGCTCTCGCAAAGCATTCTGGGATATACCTGCTCATCTAGTGACCATTGATGATCAGTACTTTTCAAGGTGCATTGTGGGAAATTTCGAAACCACTACTTTTTTCATCCACTAGACTTTCGGACACTCATCTGATATGATGTAATCACTATATAGTGCCCTATATAGTGATTAGGGCAGACATTTGGACACAGTCAGTCTGGATTTCTACCATTTAGCTGACAGTCTGTTGCTCTGGATTTTATTTCTCAGTATCTGTGTAAAAGAGGCTGAATTAAATTTTAATCTTTTTTTTTTCCCCCAACTTTGTCATTTTGTTTATCTTTGTTGGATAAAACTGAAGCTTGTGGTTCTAAAGTGACAATGTAAAAAGGTTTGGTTTTATTCAACCTTGTAATTCCTTTGTTGCAGCTGTGGATGTCTGACACACAGGGAGAGGGAGAGGATGAAGGAAAAGAGACCGAGCAGGAGCCGGCAGCCGAGAAGAACTGAATCGCAGAGGGGAAAACAGGAGAAAAATAAACACATTTTTTACCTCTCACCAGCCTAAGTTGTGTGCTTGGTTGTGTGTGTGTGTGTGAGCACATACATGCAGATATGTATGTTTACACTCCAATGACTGTGTAAAAGTACGGGATGTGTGTGCAGATCCATTGAAGTGCGTGTGTTTGGCATGAGTGTATGGTAACTGTATGAACACCTCCACAGAGAAAAGAATGAAATAGACTTGATTTCCTTACCAACATCATTTTTCCATAACCCTGTGTTATTTTTTATTTTTTTTTGCCTTGAGTTTGTCGGGTTTAGATCTGCCCCAATAATCTGTACTATTTATCAGTGTAGCAAACTGCTGCTGTTGCAGGAAAACACACCTCTAATCTGTTTCTGGAGAGTTCCTGTTTTTACTTGAACTACAATAACCTTTGTGACACATTAGTCCACTAAAGTTTCTCTGAAACCACTGTATAGAATACAGCGAGTTTTCTAAACGTCCAATCTGACAGTAAGCAGTGATTGTACGCTGTTCCTCGTAAAGATCTGTCTGAATAGTGCTTGTATGCATCCCGCCCTGTTGGTGTCCAATGTAGCCGGTAGCGTGTTAATGGATGGTACATATTTCAGGAAGGGTTTTCTGTTTGAACAACCACTTACACTTTGGTCCATTTGTTGAGTGACTTATCAACTGAAATGTGTAATATTTGATTTCTTATAGTTTTGCATACCACATAATAAAGCTAACAGCCTACAATGATTACATCTTGTTTAAGAAATGGCTTGATACTGTAACTTTTTGATATTTTAACTCTTCAGTGCTGTGGAGGATACTTTATGCCATGTGCTTTTATGTGGCTTTCTACTCTTTTTCTATTCAGGTATTATTTTCTCTTAATTTCCTGTGTTTTATTCCTGCAGACTTTTTCTCAGTGGGGGGTTAGGCATGCTTCTCAACAGGCAGTTTTGGTTTAGGATTTAGCTTTAACCTCATGTTTTATTGTAACTTTTTTTTTTTATGGGAGTACATCATAAAATGTGGAGTAAAAATGAGTATCTAAATAACGTCGTAGAAAGCTTCATTAAAGTCATTTCGTAGTTGCATAGTTGTGCCAGTCTCTTCGAATTACAGTATCTTGGTTTAAAAAGGTGGGATACAATATTCAGAATTTGCAAGTAACACATTGAGTGCATTCTTTATGTGCTTTCTTGTAAGTGGAATTAAAACAATTCAAACTGAGTCTCCTGTTTTGTGTTTTTTTTTTTTTTTTTCATTGTATCAGATTATTGAAATGTTTGAACCACATCCACTGTTAAAGCCCTCATATCAATGTATTGTATCATGGCATCAAACAACAAAAAGTTCAATGTATATTTGTTTCATTATGTGAGATCCTGGGCTGTAAAAACAAAACTAAATTCGTTTGCACTTCTGATAAGCAGGTTTACAAGTTTGCATTGTTATAACGGGAGTCGAAAATGCATAAGAGTTTAAACAAGGAGCAAAACTTATTTTCATTCATGCTAGCTGGAAAAAAAGATTGAATCCTCTGTTGCAGCATCTTTTTTTTTAACAGAAATGCTGCCCCCTGTCGATGGTTGCTGGTAGCTCTGGATCTTATGACCAAAGAGAAAGTACAGCTTGCCTTTGAGATGCAATACTTGAGCCTACACTGTCTTTCTCTACTGGTCAGGTACATCCTGATTCAATCACACGAAAGGCAATTGTCATATCTTTCTACAACTTTCCATCAACATTTTCACAGTGCTTTAACATTTTTTGCAATCTGTAAAACCTTAAAATTTTCAAAGTACACTCAGTATTTTGTCATCTCTGCATTGAATTATGTTTAGTTATGAACATGGCTACGGCTGAAATGTTGGCAGGGGAAAAAAAGGATTAACATATTTCTGTCCTACTTAAAGCTCCAGCTCCAAAACCCATTCATATAGAAAACTATATATAATCAGTTTTTGTGTTAAGGTTGCTATTTGCATACAATGGTGCACTGAGACAACAGCAGATGGGAGATTACCAGTCAGATGTTTATCACTGCTAGTTGGCTACTTTTCTTTTCTTTTTTTTCTTTTTTATCCTTTGCAGACCAACATGCATACAAAGCAATATCATTCATTAGACCCTATTATACTTATAGGCTACAGTAATCCTTTCTGTTGTAGTACTGTATTTTTAGATATTGATATAATCAGTAAGACTCCATGCTGGGGTGCTAGAAGTCATACAATCAGTATAAAATACCATACTTATAAATATAAAGAAACTGACACACATTCATTTTCCAGGTGAAATTATACCTTAAAATTTGAAGCCATAATCTTTACACAGTGGTAGTAGAGATTGGCTGAGGGTTACATGTGGCTGAAAAATAAAAAGAGGGCAGCAATGCCTCTTTGCATTGCAAATTTACCTGGCAATCAGCTCTCAGATGTTTAAAGGTTGTTCAAATATTTTACTTCCAAACGCTGCTCTAAACTTCTTTAAATGTATATCTGACATATCTGCCAAATTGTTGGTCTTCATGAGGCTGGTTATTTACTGATATTTTCTCTCTCTTTTTTTTTAACTAGAATAAATCAAACAATTCAATTTATAATTAAGGTGACTTCTGGTGGAACATTGTTTATTTTATATTGGAATAGCCCATTCAAATAAAGGCCACATTTTCCTCATATTTCACAGCTTTTTTACAATTCGTTTGTAACGTGAAAAGGTTCAAGGGCGATACATATTTAGAAGTCTTGGTTTGTAAAGATGTATATAAAGAATATTTAAAAAAAAAATTTCAGTATCAGTGAAAGAAAGAATTATAGTAAGAGTAGAAAGTAACACGTTTTTCTGGATTCCACCATTATTATCATGCGTTTCCTCCTGGGGCACGCCCCCTTTCCTCCTCACCGATACTGGTAGATAATTGGTCAATTTATGTGACGTATAGGTCCCTATATAATCCAACAACCTCCCCCCGCCTCTCTTCCCTTCAACCCCGGCTGTCAGTGCGGTGTGAGTGCGTGTGTGCTCTGAGCTCGCTCACCACACTTTCTATATAAAAAAAAAATAAAAATACAAAAAAAACTCAAAACATAAAAAAATATTTTAAAAAAAGATTTTTTTTCTTTCTTTTTGTAACAAGTCAATGAAGAAGGAGTAAAGACGGTCGAGGACTGACGGTAACGTACCCTAACGTGTCGACATTTTTTTTTTTTTTTGAGTCGTTAGCTTTTTTTTCTCCCCCTTCCTTCGTTTGTCCGATTTTAACGGTTGTTTTAACAAACTGAAGTCGAATTGAACATTTTTTGGCTCCAACCGACACAGTCATCTGTGGTATATTAACGTTTACGTATCGGCATAAAAGGAACGATACTGACCGTTAGCCAGTAAGACATTCGCAACTTTTTTTTTTTTTTTCCCCGTTAATAAACTCAAGCGTAGTCCGTTTATAACGTCTAGTCTCAAAGGAGGGCGAGAGAAAGAAGATGAACCCCAGCGCTCCCAGTTACCCCATGGCCTCCCTGTATGTCGGAGACCTGCATCCAGATGTGACCGAGGCCATGCTGTATGAGAAATTCAGCCCAGCCGGAGCCATCCTCTCAATCCGGGTCTGTAGGGACATGATCACCCGGCGTTCCCTCGGTTACGCCTATGTCAACTTCCAACAGCCAGCGGACGGTAAGTCCTTTTTGCTATTTTTTTTCATGGCAATATGTATTAAAATAGAGGATACCCATGCTGCCTGTTAGAGAGAGGGGGGCTATGCTGCGTGAGCTACATGTGACTGCGGTAGGGTCTGTTCCAGTGACTGCCTGCCCTGCCCACCTCAGAGGCCCTGATAGCTGCCAAAAAAACGGATCCTTTATCTGTCCTGTCCGGGCAGCACCTCCCAACTGTAGTGCTGAGTTTTCCTTTAATCGCCTCTAAATGACTGCATGTAGTTTTACATTTTTGAACTGACTTTTTCCCCTGTATAAAAGAAGTAAAGGTCTCAAGAACCTGCTATGTTACTAAAACAGGTAGTTTATTCCACAGGAGTTTGCCATCAGCAAACATTTTCTGCATGTCTGTGATAAAAGGGTGGGTTTGCCTCTGTCCTTTTGCTCCCATGGGTGTGTTTTTACACACAGCTGTGAGGGTTGATTCCATAATCTATTACATAATGATCAGTGGTCACTTTTTGGAAAAAAGAAACCTAAATTTGTTTTAGGAGGTATTTTAAGTAGGGCTTTGTGAGTTTATGTCGTGAACTTTGGCTTTAATCTTTTTCTATGTGCAGATGAGGTTGGCGAAATAAAAAAATATCCAATCGCATCAATAATTTTATATGAATGTACTTATTTATTTAACAGGGACAGTGCAGTCACATGCTTTTAGCTATCATTTAGATTTCATTCTCAATACACTTATTCACAACTTTAACCAAAAAAATCTATTTGTTGTTAATATTACATATTTGTTAAAACTTTTGTGTTTAGTCGATTTTTGAGCAGATAAAATGGAACAAAGTTAAGTTTGGGATTTTTTTCTTGTTGAAAAAATTTAACACCTAAAACTTACCAACAAAATAGCTGCTTGGCTTCTAAAACTACAGGGACTGGTGCAATCAGACTGCTAGAATGGGCTTAAAAGCATTTAGTCATATCCACTTCTTAAATGTGACAGACTAGAGTATGCCACTATAGGAATCCATGTAAGGATTATTTTTGCTAATAATTACATTATTTCTGTTAGTTTGGTTGATTACTAATAGCATCGCAACAGTTGATTCATAGGAGATTGTTTGCAAAATATAAACCAGGTGAGGATAAAACTATACCACAAGTTTTGTCAGCCTAAATGCAAATTGTGTGGATTTTATATCCAGTTAATTCAATTATAGCTCTTGTTCTTTCAGTGAAGTTTTAAAGTATTTGTTACTCTTAACAATTAAGATTTATTATTTCATTAATTTATTGATGATACATTTTTTTTTAGCCCTCCTTTTTTCAGATGCCAGGAAATCGAAGATAATGGTTTATTAGCTGAGCTTACCCATATCAACAAGTTGCTCAAGGCCAAATTTCCGAAGGTTATGGTTGGAGAATTTTAACATGAGTGCTATCTCAGGTCCACAGAAATACAAAACAGCAGTTTACATTTTAAAGGCTGTTGGAGACGACCACCTGAGTCTAATCAGCCTGCTCTAAAAGCACCACTCTAGTTTTCAGCTATTTGTTTGAGACCCATGACATAAACACTCACCCTACTTGCCCTAATTGTAGCATTCTGAAGACTCTGTTATACATCATATTCCACAATGATCAAGTGAAAAATTCTAATGTGGTGGATGTTTCCTGACATATTTAAGATGCATTTTGTAAAAAAATTAGGTTGTCTAGTGTCTGGCTGTGGAAGTTTTTTCAAATACTGCTCCCTCTAATTTAATGTTGTAATGTTTGCTGAAGTTGCAGTTTGTTGGTTAAGCACTTGCAGCAACACTTGCTGTTAAGCTTGTTTGTGTTGTTTATTTGTTGGGTTTCTTCATTTCTAAATGACAATTAAGATGAGCTAGAATGCCAATAGCACACCTTAAAGCAAATTAAGACAAATTCTACTACACATCCTTTAATCTGACCTGATTTTTCTCTGAAGGAAAAATCCTTTTGAAGCGTTATTAAGTTTGCAATCACCAAATTCAGATGCATTTTTTAAGACTTAAGTTTTTTTTTTTTTTAAATACTAGTTTTTAATACTAGTTCTTTATAAACTTTCATCAATTAATATTTGGTTTTTTCTCTTTTAGCTGAGCGTGCACTGGACACCATGAACTTCGACGTGATCAAAGGGCGGCCCGTACGCATAATGTGGTCGCAGCGTGATCCGTCTCTGAGAAAAAGTGGTGTGGGAAACATCTTCATCAAGAATCTTGATAAGTCCATTGACAACAAGGCTCTTTATGACACCTTCTCTGCTTTTGGGAACATCCTATCCTGCAAGGTAAAGCGGCAGTTCTTTTAGCATAATCTCACATCTAATAATTAGTCCATGTTTATTTCAGGGTAAGTCTTTGTGTGTTTAAACATGTTCCATCTGCCCTAGGTTGTTTGTGACGAGAATGGCTCCAAAGGCTACGGTTTTGTGCATTTTGAGACTCAGGAACCCGCTGAACGAGCCATTGAAAAAATGAATGGCATGCTGCTCAATGATAGAAAAGTGTAAGTGCTGTTTTTTGAAACTAGTTCTTCAGAACCTTTGTAGGCATCAGCTGTTAAATTCTGGCTCTGACTCATCCTTAGTGGCAAAGTTGGGATAGTCTAAATGAAATTGGTTCCAGCAATATAATCAACAATGCTGACTTTAATTACCTGACTCTGAAATTAAGATTTCATATTTTTAATCTTTAAATTTTGAACTAAGGTTGCAATAGATTTTCTCTTAAATGTTACGTGTGGAGTCCTGTCTCTGCAGTCATTGCTTTGCTGGCTCCCAGTCTGTGATGGTCGTTCCAAACATCAACTTTGTTTGTAAACGGTTTGAAACGGTTTTTGATATAAAAAATATGTAAATTAATGCACCAAAATATTTAAAAGCAACAATTAGACATTAAAATGGTTTTAAAATGTATGATAGTAATGCATGCACCTTGAAATATTACTGTCACTAAAAGTCATAGATATTTCTTTCCTTTGATGTTGAAATCAATCTATTTAGATTTACTATTTGAGTCTAATTCTATTCATCATTCTATACTCTGGCTTTTTATGAAATTTAAAACTAATTTATAACTAATAAATGTTTTTAATTTTTTAAGGTCATGCTGAAGATAGTACTTCAATAATTAGGGTCATTGCCTACTTGCTGCATTTTTAACAGTTTTTCAGCCTGTTTGACTGATTAGCTGCTTGAATGCATGAATGTGTAGAAGCTGACATTCATTTACCACTTATTGTTTTTAATGGAACTAATGCCATTTTTTTAAAACATTGAACATCTGAAACATCTGAGGAAAAAACATAATTTTGAAAAAAATGATTAACCAGAAAATTGGATCACTTGAAGAAAATATTATTGCACTTTTTTTGTCTTAAGGTCAGTCCCATCCCTAATTTTGGTCTGCTTTATTTTCCTAAGCCAGTCTTGGTGTGTAGGATTGTTGTCTTGCCATAAAACTAGTTGGATATGTTGTTGGCTTCATGGTGGATAAGGATACTGGTATTCCAGCCCTTTTTATACATTGCAAAGCCACAACCTCCACCTGTTTGTAAACTTGTCAAAACATTTTGAAGGCGTCATTAGTTTAATGGGAAAATGGAACCAATTCTGATCTGAAATGCGGTCAAATTTTTAGCCAGCGTTGTACCTAGTGCAGATGGACTGAGAGGAAATTTTATGTTGGGGGGGAAAAAAACATAAGTCATTGCTGTTTTAACTGCAATCTTAGTTTTTGGCCTTCAGGAAAAGGAAATATTAGTTTAAGTCACAGTTTAGTCATTACCAGACTAACAGCTTTAGCCTACATACTACCTTTGAGGGAGATGATGCTGGTGTGCGGTTCATTATTGCTGTTGGTCGGACACCGTTGTTTTTTTTGTTTTTTTCTTAGAATTCAAATATACTTTATGAATGAATGCCCTACCTTATACAGAAGTTGTGAAAATAGCAGATGTAGTTTAACACATTACATTGGTTCAAATAGCAGGAACACAAGCTAATAAAATGTACAGTAAAGGAATGGTTTCAGATATTTAAGGTTACCAAACCCAAAGAAATTTCTTCCTGATCTACTAAGAATTATGCTTTACACACAGATCAATCTTTATAACTCCAAAAAAAAAAAAAATAAATAAATAGAAAAGAACCAAAACCTTCTTAATTTGGTATGTGTGGCTTTATTTCTATGTATTCGCCCCTTGTTTGCCACTGCTCAGGGGTGAAAGTAGATTTGGATTTCTTGCAGGTATTGTATAAAAATATTAAATGGCCTATATTTTCTATTACAATATTCTTACATTTCTTTTTTCAGAATTATATTTATTTCAAGACTCATCAGTTTCAACCATTACATCTTAATATTTCTGAATCATTTCGTCTGATATTAAGAAAAAAAATAATACTGAGAGCCTCCAGAATTGCCTGGTCATGCCATGACAATCCAGACCTAAATTTCAAGAATATGTTAACTAACCACAATACAGGAAAACATTTACATCATATTTGAACAGAAGGAAACTTTGAGACAGAAATATTTATGTGGGTCTAAAAATAAACTGTAAGTAATGAAATATTTACTCTGGATATCATTTAGGGATGCCTTTGGTAGAAATTGAAGTTTTGTCAGATAGACTAAAAGATTTCTTTTACGCTTGCTAGAATAATTTTGTCATTGTTTACAAATACGGCTCTCGTTTAAGTCAGTCATCAAAAGACCATGATAAAGCATGTTGGTCAATGAGTAAGCTTGTTATATGAACAATTGTTTTGTTATCTTTTTAACGCAGCTTCGTTGGCCGCTTCAAGTCTCGTAAAGAACGTGAGGCTGAACTTGGCGCCCGGGCAAAGGAGTTCACTAATGTTTACATTAAAAACTTTGGCGACGATATGGACGATGAGAAGTTGAGAGAGCTGTTTAGCAAATATGGTGCGTGATCGTCTCATAGTCGAACCTAAACACACCCACTCCGCAGGTGATGCTACTTCAGAGTTTAGGCTTTTGGTCGCCAACTTTGTCTTTGCTTCTTAGGAAATGCACTGAGTACGCGGGTGATGACTGATGAGAGCGGGAAGTCCCGCGGCTTTGGCTTTGTCAGCTTTGAAAGACACGAAGATGCACAGACGGTATGACTTAAACCAAGATGACTTATTTGTTAATATTTTGCTTTGTAAGGAAGCAGAATTGATCCCTGTTATGAACTCCACCTTTAATTGTTGCTTATTTCAATTTCAGGCAGTGGATGAAATGAACGGAAAGGATCTTAATGGGAAGCCCATCTACGTTTGCCGTGCTCAGAAGAAGGTCGAACGACAGACGGAGCTTAAGCGCAAATTTGAGCAAATGAAACAAGACCGTATGACTCGCTACCAGGTCAGCATGAATATCTCCAGCATCAGACGCCATCTGACCACAGAAAGAAGCAGCTTTGTCAAATTCAGTGCCCCCTCTGCTATGGGGGCCACTGGCCAAAATGGCTGCCACAGTAACTGTAGTTCATGGGCCCCACTACCTTTTACCTTGGTTCCTGGGGATAATTATGTGCTGCAGACAGAAATATTTGTTTCATATTGGTGCTCACTTCCCTTTTTTTTTTTTTTTTTCATTATTTATTTTTTGACAAAAAAAAACTATATAAACACATTTGTTTTTCTGTTTATTCATAGGGTGTCAATCTGTATGTAAAGAACCTTGATGATGGGATTGATGATGAACGTTTGCGAAAGGAGTTCTGCCTCTTTGGGAATATAACCAGTGCCAAGGTTAAGACCTTTCTTCTTCCATCTATCGTCAGACTTCTACAGCTCATTATTACAGTCCTCTTAAACCTTTCCACTTTTTCTATCGCCATTGCCTCAAACATATTTCATGGATCTCTTCGGGTGATAGACCAATACCAATTAGTGCTTAATTGTTAATGGAGAAGAAAAGGGTTCAACGTTTTCAAAAACTTAACGTAAATTAATGTATGAAGACCGTTTGACTTTGTAAAGCCGGTATTTTGCTGCTGTTACAGTTACAACTATATTGTTTGATGTGTAATATCTAATTTATTCAGGAATTTAATTGGGCCATTCTAACACAAAATGTGTTTTCCTTTAAAATATTTAATTGTTACTTTTATTAGATGACTCAAATTTTTTAGTCCTTTGGAACCTCTAAAGTTTTCCTCCTAAGATTTCCTCATATTACACCCCATTCATTTTCTATCTTGTTATTCTAGGCCAGAAATATAATTTCAGTCTGCTCTCACAGTGCTAATAACTTAGCACTTTGTGCTAATAACCCAGTGCAACTGTTAACGCTGTGGTTGTAATGTATAAATAAATGTATCTGAGGTATCATAACTTTTTTTTTTTTTTTTTGGTTATCAGGTCATGATGGAAGGCGGTCGCAGCAAAGGCTTTGGATTTGTCTGCTTCTCCTCACCAGAAGAGGCGACTAAAGCTGTTACAGAGATGAATGGGCGCATCGTGGCCACCAAGCCACTGTACGTTGCTCTGGCCCAGAGAAAAGAGGAGCGTCAGGCCCACCTGACCAACCAGTATATGCAGCGTATGGCCAGTGTGCGTGCAGTGCCAAATCCTGTCATCAACCCCTACCAGCCTGCGCCGCCCACAGGCTACTTCATGGCTGCGATACCTCAGGCCCAAAATCGTGCTTCTTACTACCCAGCTGCTGGCCAGATGGCTCCGCTCCGCCCAAGCCCACGCTGGACAACGCAGGGTGTCCGACCCCAACGTGAGGGTTTTCATTTGGCTTCGATGCGTTCATCCTCCGATTGTCCCCATTATAACCAGCTTGTTAAAGAATTGTTTCTTTGCCCTCAGACTTTCAGAACATGAGCGGTGCCATGCGTGCGTCAGCTCCACGCCCTCCTCAGACCTTTGGTACCATGCGGCCTGCTTCTCAGGTTCCCCGCATGATGTCTGCGCAGCGCGTCGGTCAGTCCAGTTGGCACAAAGCCTCTTTTCTTTCTACATATCAAGTATAAATGTATCATCTTGATGGCTCTCCTCATCTTTGACTCATCTTGCAGCTGCTCAGACCATGGCTCCCAGACCAGCCACTGCAGCTGCAGCAACAACCGCTTCTGTGCGTGGGGTCCCTCAGTACAAGTACGCTGCAGGAGTCCGCAACCCTCAGCAGCACATCACCTCCCAACCACAAGTCCCCCTGCAGCAGGTGAAGTTCTGCTCTCATCAGTGGTAGAATCGTTGGAGGGTGAAGCTGTAGCTGTAATATGTTTGTGTCCCTCAGCCTGCAGTCCATGTTCAGGGACAGGAGCCTCTGACCGCCTCCATGCTGGCAGCTGCGCCGCCACAGGAACAAAAGCAGATGCTGGGTAAGCTACACTGATGGCGTTGTTCTACTACAGCTCTAGCTCTTGCTGTATCCAGTTTAATTATGTGCATAAAACATTCAATTTTTTTATTTATTTTTTTTTTAAAACTCTAAACCATCTCTGTCATGCCTGTAGGTGAGCGTCTGTTTCCACTGATCCAGAACATGCATCTCAGCCTGGCAGGCAAGATAACCGGCATGCTGCTGGAGATTGACAACTCAGAGCTGCTTCACATGCTGGAGTCCCCAGAGTCTCTCCGCTCCAAGGTTACTGTTCCACTTTTTTGATACAACCAGCTTGTAGTTATGAAACCTGGGTGTATTGCGCCAGATCGTCAGACTGCTGCAAATTCAGCTTGATTTTTTTTTGGGGAGGTGACATGAATATAAAGTGTTTGATTTGCTGTATTTTTAAATGTAAAGAAATGTATCAATTTGTTGGGTTAAAACCAGAAAAACTTCCATGAACTGGGAATTTAATTGATGCTGCAACAAAAAATATTGATCAAGCAGTCTGCTTATTGAAACATGGTTGCATCGTACTGGAGATTAAAGCTGGTCCAAATGGTGGGTGATAAAAAACACTTAAGGCTGGATTTAACTTCCAGTACTTCTAAAAGCCTAAACATTCAGCCAGAACTACAAATATAGGTATTGGCTTAATAGGATCTATGGAAAACATAAGCAAATATAAGTCTTAGCTGTATTCAGTTGATAAACTGAAATTTCTGCAGAGCTTTCAGAGTAAAATAGGCTAAAAGAAAATGTGACACTCTTTGTAATCCTATGATTGTAATATCGTTTTTATTTCCTTCATCTTAACAATTATGCTCTGTTTTGTCATTAAAACACGAGCACATTTAGTTTGTGGGTGTGATGAAACAGGGAAAAGATCAAGGGGTTTGAATACTTAAGCAAATGGTTATGAGTAAACTACTTTTTAAAATGTCAAGGTGAATCTGGGGGCTTTTGTTGACATCATGCACCGATATCTATCCAGGTGGATGAGGCTGTGGCTGTGCTACAGGCCCACCAGGCTAAGGAGGCTGCTCAGAAGACTGTGACCAACTCCACTGCTGTCCCAGCTGTCTGAACCAAAGGTACACATTTAAGATCTTGCATTATGAACGCAATGCTTAAAAATGCAAAAAGTGGATATATCTTATTGCAATGTTTTTTTTTGTTTTTTTTTTTCCCTCAACAGGATTGGGGAACCCTGAGACAAGCTTCACAAAAAGAAAAAAAAAAATGCTTAAAATGTTTTAAAATTTCATTAAATAGAGTAAAAAGTATCAAATACAAAACTTAAAAAAAAGAGAAAACAATGAGAATAAGTCTCCAGTCGGCCTTGTGAGAGACGAGGTCTGCTTTTCTTGGTTAAAAACAGCAAAAAAGAGAAAAATAAAACAAAAGTCAACATAAAAAAAGGATCAGTTTGAGAGGTTTTAGATGAAATTTATGGAAATGTAAGTGAAAGCATTCCTTTCTGCCATTTTATCCGTTTTAAATGTTTGGGCTTTTGAAGCCTGTTATTGTGAATTTTCATTTTACCTTTGCTTGCTTGAATTAAAGTTCTAAAATAATCCTGGTCTGTCCTTTAATAGAGGCTGCTGTGAAAACTTCTTTATACAAATCGGATTTGAATTCATTTAAAACTTAAACATCTTTCAGTTGTGCCATTTTGTCTAGTCTTTAAAATTTTTTATTTTCAAATGAGCGTCAATGGGATATTAACATGTTTCTGGTTTGGGTTAAAAGCAATTCAACATAATATAGATGCCTAGAAATGACTGGTTGGGTTATTTCCTGCTGGTCTTGATGTTCACAACCACACTGTGCTTGAGGTCATCCAGCATCTGCTTCAGATTGGACAATAATGGCTGCATTTGCTCAGTTAGAGGTTTGATCTGATCCTCCATGTGTGTGACTGCTGACTGAAGCTCCTTCATCTTATTCTGGATATCAGCGGCCAGGGGCTCAAGCTCACTCTGCCTTTCCTCAAGGAACGACCTGAAAATATCACACAAAGTTTGTGATTTAAGAATCACTATGACCGAACACGATAAATGAAATAGTCAAAGGAAAGCAAGTTGCTATGCAGCAAATGTGTTCACTATTTAGTATGAATCTGACGCTGGTGGTTGCTTTTCACTCACTGAGCCTTGTCCTTCATCTCTTCGTTGCCCACAGCGATTTTAGCTTTTATGTTTTCAAGGTAGTCGCTCATTTGAAGGCCTCCATTATAGGCAGAGGTTCCTGTGGTTTTAAAATCAAACAATCAGGATTTAATATCCCAACTTACTTTTAAAAGAATTGTTAGAAAGGGTCAATTCAGTATTTCCAAAAATTATTTCTTCACATTGGCCTTTCGTTTCTCTAAACACACTCTTATCAAAGGTAGGTTGATAATTTATATAAACCATTCCTTTTGATAAAAGTATATTTAGTGGAAGATTTTATTTTATTTTTTTCTATAAAAAGTGACTGTACAGGTGGAAATCAATTGAATTTCTGAATATAAAACTTATTTTACCATAGGTGAGGGCAAGAACAAGAACTGCAATATGGAACGGTTTCATGGCTGCTGACTTGAATAGACCTAGAATAAAACAACAAACAATGATTACAACCTTGCCTCACCTAGGAAGCTTCTAATTGGTTAACTCAATTCATTTTGCATTATTGGTGGCTCACAACAATTGCGTAATGGAAAATTCAAACAAATGAGATATCAGAGGAATTCTGGATGTTCATTAGTCTAAGAAGGCATCTATTTAAACTATCAACTTTATTAAAACCCATGATATGTTCAACTAACAAAATGTTTTGTGGGACTGGTCCTGTGTCCCAGATATTTTACCATTTGGTGAAAAAAAAACATAATTATGGAGAAATATCTTGCTTTCTAAAGAAACCAAAATTAAAGAGTTTAACCATAATGACCATTGTTCCATTTAGATGAAAATGGGCGAGGTTTACAAGCTTAGAACACATTAGGGTGTTTTCCTGTTGGAGAGACGGGTGAGCTTCACAAAATAAAAGAACACAAAATTCAATCAACGTCTAAAGGCATCAGTCAGGAAGATATGGGCCTGAAACAAAATGACTGTAGATGGTTGTTGACAGACCCAACTGTACATCTTTTCTGTCAGGTGGAATGGGCGAAAAAACCTGGCAAACTGCGATGAGAAGCTTGTGGAAGGACATCCCAGTTTCAGTCTAAGTCATACAATGTAAATACCTTTTCTACCAGGTACCCAGGAAATTTTTGTAAACTTCTATATTGAAAAAAGTAAGACAAAATCTTATTGTTTGGGATTTAACATATAAAAAATTATTTAAGTGCTTGCAGCTGTATTTTGTAATATCATGCTTCATTTTCAGAGCATGTAATAAACTGAATTATGAACCCTCAGCAGAGCCTATGTGAGGAAAAGCTTCTTGGAGCTTAATGAGATGAGTCACTGGTAATACTTTCCTGGAAATGTCCACCAGGCCTCTTTCCTCAGGGCCATAAGATAAATATTTCAAGACGTATTGTACTTAGACTAGCAAACATAATCAACTGATCATATAGAGCCACTCAGCCATAAAATTTGGGTTTTTAGGTATAGATTTTTTATTTTTATTTGCAGAGGTTCTTGGATTTCATGTTTTATTGAAGCTATTTATGAATTGGTCCTAAGAATTCAACAACAAAAACACGGCACACACTATACTATATATAGATGCACTTCCTGCATTAAACCTGCAGAGAAAAAAAACTATCTTTTATATATAAGGTAAGGTAAAAAAAAATGTCCCACCTTACAAAAAAAACAAGCAATTTTAGTCCTCATTACTCCTATGAAAATAAAAATAATCTGTATCTTTGGCACAAAGTTTAAACAGAAAGTGCTTTTTTTTTTTTTCCTCTAAGAGAGAGTAGGACTCACCTGTTTTGCAGATGGTGGTTTTTGGAGTGGATGGTGCCTCTGTGCTGGACCCTCACACCTCTTATAGGCCGGCCTGATGATGCAGGTCCATGGTCATCTGAAGCTGACTGGATTAGATAAAGAGGAAACAGGGTACTCACTGTGTGTAGTGTCTGTCAGCAGTGTTAAACTGAACCAAGGTCCAGCAGTCCCTGTACTTACTCACCGACATTCTGCATGAGTCTTATTATATAGATTAAACTGAACCCAGAATCATCAGTGAGAATATCAGCACACAGACATCAAGGACCTGTTTCCAGGATGTTATGCTTCATCAATCTGATAATAGATAAGAGGCAGAATGTCTTGATCTTATTTAGTTTCTTTGATTTTGAAGGTTCTGTTTGGTGTAAAGATTTGGCAGGAAACATATGATACGCTGGTTTAAAATGAGATGCCTGTCAGGATGTTAAATACAGTAGATTATTAATAAACTAAAAACCTTGTTTCATTTAACAGCTAGAATACGTTTTTATATTTACAAATTCGAACAGATTAGGACCCCTTATGAACGAAATCAGTTTTTATTCAGAAATATTTACATATCGTTTTCTGCTTTCTTTCTTTTTTTCTTTTCTCTAGAAAGTAAAGAAACTTAATAGCAGGTAGAATAAGAGTAAATATTTTGCTTTACTCAATTAATAAACCATAAGAACAAAATGTTTTTTCTACCTGAGAACCAAGATTGTTTTTGGGTTTAAGCATTTTTACGGATGGTCTAATATTCTCTATGACACTTCCACCTCTGGGATTTTCTGTCTGTGTGAGGTTGTTTTTAATATGACCGACTTCAGAGTGTTTGTAGATCTCAGTAAACCCCTTACCATATTCATCTTCCTTTCAAACACCTCAGCAGGAGCATCACACCATGCTGTTCATTCCCCCTTCTAAAGTTAAAAATAAACCTCCTTTAAAATGCCTCATAATGTTGTGCAGAATCATCTTAGCCATAATTTAGTTTTCTCCCAACTAGTTCTTCACCAGGAATTGCATCCTTTTTATTTCATTGCATTTGTGTAGTTTTATTTTATTTCAATATTTAAAAGGCTGTTAGTTCCCTTGTTTTTGTTTATCCACATTGCTTAAAATGTTCTGTAATGTTACAGTTGATATTATATTTCCTCATTTCAGAGTATGCTGGAAAAATACATGAGCTAAAATACTGTAAGCTTTTACTGTCCAGATGTCATACTTCTTTTTGGGATCGACTGATCTTCATGTCTTAAAATAAGCTGACTAAAAACTTCACATCGATTTGTATTACTCTTATATGACTATAGGAGTATGGTACTCTATAATATAGAGAAATTGCTTAACTAAATGACATCCTCTACCCTACTGCTTCTTAACAAGCCCAAATCATCAGCCTTCCACCACCATGTCTGACAGAAAGAATTGACTTTTTTATGATAGCCTTCTTATGAGCTGATTTTGCATTTTAACTTTGCAGCTAAAAAAACGACACTCAGTTTAATGCTCTAACAAATCTACTACAACCTCTGCTTACCTTTTACCAAAGAAAAAAATACTCTTTTTTGCATTTTAAGCTTCAGCAACAGGGATGAATCGTCCTTTCTGGGTAGCCCTGGTCATAGCAAATTAATTGAGTGGTAAAGGTAATGCTTCTGGTCATTTTGCACCTATTACATTTAAATACCTCAGCAGGGTTATTCCTTGCATAAAAGACCTCTATGGTACAACACAGATTTAAATTCCAGTTCATAATCAGTTCACTGTTAACAAAATAGGGGTATGGACCAGAGAACAATATCAAACTGTTTCTCAGATGTATTTTAATATGTTAAGGTTCATAATGTTTCATACTAGTTAACTGTTATCTACAGTGAAAGGAATCAGGATTGGACATTATGCATATAAAATTAAGAAATTATAATTACAAAGAATTAAATGAGACATTATAGGGATATATATATATATATATATATATTCAGAAAGCATTATAGTATGTAAATAGTGAGAGAATTGAACTACTACACAAGGCGTAAACAATTTTTGCGGAGAAATATATATATATTTTTTCAATGCCATACTTTGTAAGGCAAGGCAAGTTTACTTGTATAGCACAATTCAGTGCAAAGGCATTTACAATTGCTTTACACAAACTATAAAACAGAAGCAAAATAAAAGCAAGTAAAGAGAAAAACATGAAAAAGCAGGTAGTAAATCAAATAAAACAGTTGGACCACAAACTTAAACTAATGATAAATTAGTTTTAGTTTAACCTTTATTTTAACAAGGCAGTTCTAAAAAAAAGGGGTTTTTAACTTTGACTTAAAAGATCTCAGGGTTTTTCAGTCTTTTGGGAGATTGTTCCATATAAGTGGAGCAAAGGATAAAAATGCTGCTTCTCTGTCTTTGCATAAAGAGCAGCAAAAATAACAGGACGAAAATTTGTTTTATAGCGTTGCTATAGTTAACCCTTTATACCCTTTATAAAATAATTGACAGAAAAAAAATAAATAAATTAGAGTTGTCTTTGAACTTTCTAAAAAAATGAAATAAAAAACATACATTTTGTATAAGTTAAATTTGATAATTTATTTGAATCAATGTTAATTCATGAAGCATTTCTGTATATTTTTTTATACATTCTCTCTTTGCTAGATTTGTCTGATTGTGTAAGTCAAGGTTTTGAAGAACGGCTTTAAAGTGTTAACAGCCTAATTAAAAAAAACAACAACAAAAAAATCTAATTCTGATTGAATATTAACTTAATATAACAGTTAGCTGCTACGGGAACTTAGAAAAGCCTAATTTAATACATTTTGATCCATAACTTAGTGAGTGTATTTAGAGGGGTTCAGCATTCCCTAATGCAGCCAATTTAAAACACTAATGTTTTAACGATTGATTATATTAAGCAATTATATTATATTATATAATACTGCTGACGTCAGTAAGTTCCTCTTATCTCCAAAAATGTTGGCTTTTTGTCCCTGAGTACTATGGAAGGTCTTTTCCTTCTGCTCTTGTGTTGATTCATACATTTTGCTCTAAAAAAAAAAAAAAAACAGAAGCCGTCACCCTCCTGTATGGTAAACTGATTGGACATTCCTATGCTGTTTATACTCGCTTGTATTTGTTTAAACAGATGAGTGCTGCAGCCATCAGGGTGTTTTGGTTCAGAATGAACTAGAATCCTCATTCTGATGTTTGTTCATTTCTTTTGATTATGCACTTGCAATAATCTCACAAAAAAAGTGTTTTTTTAAAGCATTGTTTTAAAATACTACCATTGAAGTTAATCATAATTAAATAACATCCCAAAGTCATCAGGAGAAATTACATAATTCTCTTTGCTTCCCAGATTGTTTTAGAGAATACTAATTCCATGCATGCTAATGTAAATATCTACCCCACACAAGGGTTATTGCTACCTTTACATCCTTATAATCGGTGTTAAAAAATTGCTGCTCAGCTCTTCCCCAAACCAGATATACATAAAATTCCACTCATATGTTCAGGTTAAATATTTAATACAAGGCCATACAACACAAACTGCCTAAAAAACCCAAACCAACTTGAGCTTCTATTCTTCTGCAGGAGAAAAACATTTGCCGTGGTTTTAAGAATCTGATTTCTGCTTTGATGGAAACCAGATGTGGGAACAAGGAACATGTTTTCAGCCTGATATTATTCATCTGGTCTGGGGGGGCTGTTTCCCACCACTCCTGCTGCCTGACTGACTATTTTGCTGGAAGTAGAAAAGGCTCCGGCTCTTTTTGTCTCTTGAAAACATTAGTTCCTAAGGAGCTCCGGACAGAAAGATCTCCTCATTTGTAATGCAAGGCATGTGAGGCGGCCTTGACCTGATTAAACCATAAATGTGTTTGCAGGAAGATGTGGTCAGACCAGAAAAAAAGAGCACTGCAAGAGTTTTCCGTTGTATAATATCAGTTGAGATGCTGGTATCATACTGATGATAAGACATAAAAATCAGGCCTTGAACTGTTTTGAAGCTTTGTACAACATGTTTGATGTGGAGTTACTTCCAAAAACAGAAAACTCATTCAAGTTTATCAAGTCTTGATAAGTTCAGATATCTTCTGCAAAAACAGATCTATTTTTCATGAAAAGTTTGTTCTGTTTTCCAGAGATTATGTTTAGTGGATAATTGAAAACAACAGCTGACGTGCATTATCTTTATCTCCAAAGGAGTTAAAAGTCTAGCTAAAATTCTCTTTTTTGAATTAAACACTGCTTAAACGATACAATATACTGTAAAAATATGCAAATCTCTGAACTATTTTTACAATTTGTGAGAAAAAAAATTACTTAAGCAGGATTTCTTTTAAATATTATTTAATCAGTGCATAATTTTGGATAAAAAAAGGAAATTGTTTTCATTCATTTGTGTAAAAAACTGTTATTTTGTGGCATATGTATCCCACAGTCGATATATATATTGTTTGCCTTATGGAATAAATTTCTACCAGTTCTGCAAATCTGTAACAACATTTATAACAGATTCTTTCAGGCTTTGACTGGGCCAATTACCACTAAGTCTGTAGGTCTAAGAGATACTTTAAAGAGACACTTTAAAGAGACCTAAACTTTAAAGAGTAGTAATATTCTCCAACAAAACTCTCAGAACAGCAAAGTTTTAAATAATTTGCAGTTTTCTTTCTTTCCTTCTGAACCTTCATATTGAAGGGAGCTGAATACAAATGCACATCATGTTTCATGTATTGTATTTGTGAGATATTTTGAAATCTACCCATCTCATTTAAGATGAGATTTCATCATTCAGCTTTTATTCCTCCTCTTGCCTCTTTCCAAACGGTGAGAGGCTGAAAAATTACACACGATCCAGAAAGGTTTTTCCTTTTTTTTAACTGAGGTTCAAGAGGAGATCCTGTTTCCTCTTCAAGTAGGTGGTCCACAAGATAAGTTACACCCAGGTGCTTTAGACAAGGATTGCATTTTACTTGTTTTAAAATGCAGCCTATTGTTGATTTTTTTCCCCCCTTCTCTTATCAGGCAAACTATGTTGCTTTGCTTCCAAGTTTAATCACATGCTTTAGGCAGCAGAGCCTGAGCTGCAAAACCACATTGTAGGTTGTTCACAGTTGCTGCCACAAGAGAACAGGGGGAGGCTCAGATTTCTTGGCCACAGATTTTTCTCTGACTCTCCAGTGCTGCGTTCAGGGCTTGCAGAAAGCATTGGAAATAAAGAACATAGTTCAATATGGCAAATAATCGTTTCTACCTTGGATATTGGTTGTAAGAATCAATCTAAAAAACAAACAGCTGTGTACAAAAAAAAAATGTTTTGAACATATTTGAGTGACAGGGCACTTAGAAAACGGACGTCTACATATAAATACTAAGCTCCATGTTTATCTGCTGTAAGGTCAGATTGGCAACGGTATCAAAAACTATAAACCTCAGTGGGGTTCAAAATCTCAAGGCGGATCTAATTTACTAGTGAAATATGCTGTGTTTAACTGATTTAATTTGAAAAGTCAGTAATGTTTAACATCCAAGAATTCAGTTGTTAATATGGCTGCTGTACCTTCAAAACTTAAAACAAAAATATCCACAACATAAAACACCATTACCAGTCAAAAACAGATTTATCAAGTGTTACCTTTGACACTTAACCTCTGCACTCCAATTTTGACTTCTAACTGGACTTCATTTTACTGCGAATTTGGGACTCTTGAATCTATTGAGAAGCACTGAATATAAAAGAGATTGATGTAAAATATTTGATGCGATCTCTGGGTTTCCTTACATTTTCTTTGACTTCTAAGTTATTAGGTTATTTCTAGATTATTAGGTCTGAACTGGAGCCCAATGTGTGACATTTGTAGCTGCAACAGACAAAAATAATCTGAGTAAATATATATTTTAAATAGCTATATTTTTATGAAAAGAAATAATCCAAATTAATCTGACAATACCAGTGGAATCAATTAATCACTTGAATAGAACCTATTTGACAGCATGCAAAAGTAGGCCAAAAGGTCTCAAATGGTGACAAATCATGCCCCTATAACAACTAGAAGCCTGGAAATAATCACAAAACCATCACTACAGGTTTGGGGCCCTAGTAGTAGACCAGTTTCCATCAATGGAGAAACATAAATCCATGCAGAACCTTCTAAGAAGTGGGTTGGTAAACCAAAATTATTTCAAGAGTACTTAACAACTCATGCAGGAGGTTTAAAGAAAGGGCTAGAACAACACATAAAGCATTGCTCACCTCATATGTCTCAAATAGAGAGTCTCTATACCAGGACCCCATTAGTTTTGAGTGGCCATGATAGATAAATATCTGATAGCCTTTTTAAGACTTTTTTTCCTCCTTACATTATCATGTTTAATTAATTACAGAGGAGGTAAAAAAGGAGGTAGAATTTACTACTTAATATATATTTTCTTAACTGGAAAAAAAAAAGTTGGATGCCACTGCTCTAAACTGAGATGGTTGCATGAAACCAAACTTCAAAGTTTAAAATCTAATTCAGGACTTGTGGCCTGACCTTAATAAAGCCATTTATGCTTAACAGACTTTTGAATTTATTTGAGTAAGAACAACATAAAGCAATCAAAATACTTATTTGTTGCCACCAATGAAAGTACAATCAGTTTATTAGGAAAGAAAGGTTAGACTTTTCAAAAATGTTTTGATTTTATGACACTAAATCATTTATTTACTTACAATATATTGGTTTGATATTAAGACGTGCTAAATGGTCGTTGGCAACTGTGACTACATAAAATAGAATATTATATCATACAAACAATAAAGAAAAGAAAACTAAATCCTTAAGAATCCAGGAAGTCGGAGTTGTCCGTGAACGCAGCACTGAGTGACACTCCAGCAGCCTAATCCAAAGAGTCAGGATGCAGAGCGGCGCTCCTGCTCCATCCAGCGACCTTTAACTTCTTTTTTCCAGGGCTGACTGAGGAAACCCTGCCGACACTTTGTCCTTAAACGCTCTAAATCCCACCTCGGTGAGAACCAGCGGTGGGTTTCATCTGTTCCGTCTTCCTTCTCAACCGGACTTGAGTGGACGTTACGTGGGGACAATGGAATCCAACGTTATCCAGGACAGTATCCGCCCTCAGAGGCTGCAGCCGGGGATTGGCTTCGGGTCCGGACCGACGGGGACCCTCCGCTCCTCCTCTCTCCGACCCGGAGTAACGGTCCCGGTCGCGCCGTTGCTGCCCTCCCCGGCTTCCCTGTGCGCTTCGTCGGGGCCTCCTCCTCCTCCGCCGCCGCTGCAGCTGCACAGCCTCTATGGAGGAGTGGGAGCGGGGCTGGGGCCCGGAGCCGGGGGCCACTGCAACCCGGGGAACCCGGCGGTTCTGAAGGAGGCGGTGGAGGCGGTGGTCCGCAGCTTCGCCAAACACACGCAGGGCTACGGCAGAGGTAAGGATCAGTGAGATAAAAACACTTCAGGAGGAGTAGCAGGAGTTTAGAGCACAGGAAAAACAAGCCAGACCTTCTTTTTTCCTGATCTTCATCAGATTTATTCCCATTCAATAATTTAGGCAAGACAAGGCAAGGTAAGGCAAGGCAAAGCAAATTTATTTGCATAGCACAATTCAATACAAAGACAATGCAAAGTGCTTTACATGATTAGAATATAGGAAAATAAAACACAATCAGAGCAAGTAAAAGAAAAAATAAACAATAAAAAAGATGCAGAAACAAGAAAGGACATTAAAAGCAGTTGGACTAAAGAAAAAAAAAATTCTAAAAGAAAGGATTTCTAACTCCCAGTGAACTGCTATACATTTGTTATTACATTCCTCAGGTAGAAAACTCAACTCTTTCCATAACTTGGCCCCATGCTGGCAGTAGGCCACCAGATCTGGGGCCAAATCAGACCCAGGGGCGGTTTTAGTGGATTGTGGTTATGAAGATTTGGGCCAATTTTTGCTGAAAGATGGAAAAGAACAATCACATCGATCTGAATGTGAATGCAATGCAGATGATGTTCAGGAAACATGTCCAGAAACCAGAGATCCCACTCTATATATGAGCCAACACATTTTGGCTGACTGGATATGGGTGTGTGTGTGTGTGTGAGGACACAACATGACATGATCTGATGTTAGAGGGGATGTTTCGCTTCCAAGGATACAGATTTTTTGGGTTCTTATATGAATAAAGGTTTGGTTTCTGGAGATCTTTAGCGACAAAATGCCTTTTTTCCTCCAAAAAGTGATTTCCTGTCCGATAAGTCATGTAGCTCTGGGCTATAAGTCATTCAGATAATTATCCAGTGTTGTTTAGGAAAAAAAATCCCCTTATTGTCCCACAAGGGGGAAATTATGGGACATAAAGGATAGTTTAGCACTGAAACTATCCATCATCTCAGATTTTTCTGCATCAAATTTGCTCGTTGTTTCAGAACACTCCTCCCAACATGCAGTTCTATTCAATGACTGGTCTGAAAAGGTAAAAGAAATGCATCACATTATTGAGATCTGCTTTGAAAATGGACAAGGGACAGTTTTCCTCCAAAACAAACAACAAAAATGCAGCTAAGTTCCAAAGACAAGCACATTCAAAAGTCATAAGTATTGTTAATTGATGTCTTTAACCTTAAACTAGACTTCAGCCACTCTGAGCCTTTCTACACAGAATTAATAGGATTTACTTCCAAAAGATTGTGTCTGTGTGCTGTGACTGACAGCCTTGTCCCTCCTCTATCCCTCTGAGGCTTCCTAATACCTCCAACCTAAGTAATGGAGCTGCTGTCAGAGGATTGGCTCACAGACTCCTCCTTTAATTCAAAATCAGCTGACTTTAACAAGTGATTAAAATGCATAATATTACATTTTATGTTACTTCTGCTGTAAGCGTGGATTCCTGAGTCATGGCTTTTCTGCTGCACTTCCTGTTTGTTTCCTCTTTTATTCCTAAGGAAAGACTCGGACAAAAGGGCTGCGTCTTATCACCATGCGCTCCCCTTTGTTTGACCTTAGAGGAATAAACTTGAAGGTATTATTTTGGAGCAAAAAAACAGTCATTCAGAATTAATTACAGCAGTTTAGGTTGTTTAGAGTATAGCTTTGATTTTATTAAAAGGTTCAAAAGATTAATGGACTGGTAAAGAAATTGCTGCAGTTGTTTAAACTCTCTGCTTTCATGTTCAGTAATCCCAAACTCAGTCCGTAATGTTTGGATCCAAACTGTATGGGGGAGGGAGGGAGGGAGGGACACCATCTGTCGCAGGAATCCATCCCCTTTCCTGAAGTTTCCTCTGTTTGAAACCTGGCGCAATGTTTTGGACACGCCGCATAAAGATTTGGAGACCACACTCCTCCCTGAAGGCATTTTTTTTTTCTAGAATGGATGAGAGTCTATAAACATCTCAGAAAGCACATAAACTTTATTTTACGGCCAACTAACAACAAGATGAGGGCGTACGCACTGAAGGTTTTATTGCCCGCTTCAGTGGGAGCATAAAAAATATTATTTGGATAGGAGTTTAGGGATTTATATCTCCATGGTGTGTTTGTAGTTTTGTTGACAGGGAAAGTTGGGATTTCTATTGAAATGCAGATCTAAAACCCACTAATGTGACTCAGGCTGTTGGAGCCCAACAGTCTGAGCTCAGAGTTTAATCAGGCGGCTCTCGCTTCACACTGCAGGCCTAAACTTACATAACTAGTGGCTCTTACAGAAGTTTTCCCACCCATGAAACAGTTTCCAGGTGATGGAAATTTTCTAATATAGACATGAACATTGAAACTCCAGTCTTACATCACTCAACAATGGAGAGAAACTTAAATAAAGTCACATTGCTCAATAAAAGTTGTCTTTTTCTGGCAAAATCTTCCATCTCTAGTTGCATTGTAGCCGAAATAAGCTCTGTTTGTCGTGCTTCCTCTCTCTTCAGTGAACGTGGTGGAAGCTCTGCAGGAGTTCTGGCAAATGAAGCTGACCAGAGGGGCCGACTTGAGAAATGGAGCTCTGGTGGTTTATGAAATGGTGCCCTCAAACAGCCCTCCGTACGTCTGCTACGTCAGCCTTCCAGGCGGCAGCTGCTTCGGAAGCTTCCAGGTGCGGCATCTGCTTTTTGTTACCACATTTTAAGATTATTTAAAAAGGGGATTTTTTTTTCTTATTAAACATCTGGGAATGAGCTGCATCCTGGAGAAGCTCCTCTGTACTGTAGAGATCTGCCTCAATCTCTGGCTCTTGTTATATCCCTGACTCGGAGTCTTTTCTCCACTGTTTTGACAGTTCTGTCCAACGAAGGCGGAGGCGAGGCGCAGCGCCGCCAAGATCGCCCTGATGAACTCGGTTTTTAATGAGCACCCCTCCCGTCGGATTACTGATGATTTCATTGAGAAGAGTGTGAATGAGGCGCTGGCCTCCTTCAATGTAAGTTCCAATAAATACTGAAGCATGATAGTACTGTCCGTACCACTGCATTGTAATGATTTTGTTTCAGTTATTAGTATTTGAGCTTCATTTTAAAAGGTATGCAAATCTTGAGATACTGATTGATTTAGGTCGATCTTTTGTTCTGTTGTCTGGATGCTCTGGATTATCCATCTGAAAAACTTGTTCATTTCTTAGTCACCCTGCTGTTTCCACTAGATTTGTTTCTTTAATATGCCCTGTTATTTCAAAAGTAAGGATGATGTCATGCTTTTCTCAGAAAGAGAAACATTCCCTCAGCATAATAGACCCTCCACCTTACTTAAGGTGGATCTTTCTCATATTCATGATACTATTTTTGAATATTTTAGCATGTTATAGCATTTGGGTTAATATAGAAATGTATTTTTGTCATGGAAAAACTGATTTTTAATCTTTTTTTTTCTTGCTGGCATCTCATAACCATATGTTGGTCTTTAGATCAGTGCAATGGAGATTTGGCGACCCCCAGATGCCAAAGAGAGATTTAAAAGTTTTTTTGTTGTACTTTCTTCAGCCTTCTCTTAACTGGACATCTCCTGGTCCTTTTCCAACCATGTTTTTCCACAGTTTTAACATATTCCCAACTGTAGATGTGGAAATAGTTACATGAAAAGCTAATTATCGTGTGGAAATTTCCTCACTTATGAAGATCAACATAAATCTGTTGTACTTTAATTATTAGTTTTTTCTTATTCACGTTGTGTAAAGTGAGTTAGAGAAATTGGCCTGTGTGTACAAAGGCAGTGAAATGCTTCTTGTTGATTTTTTTTTTCTTATCAGTTAGTATTAATCTTGTATCATTGTCTGTTAACTCTTGAGTGAAAAGGTTGCTGTGTGTTCACAGGGAAACAGAGAAGAGGCTGATAATCCCAACACAGGGATTGGGGCGTTTCGCTTCATGCTAGAGTCCAACAAAGGGAAATCCATGCTGGAGTTCCAGGTGGGGGAAGAAAAATCCAAAGATATTTTAAATATCTTGAACTCTGGGATGTTTATTATTAATGTTGTGTTCTTCCTTCCTTCCTTCCTTCCTTCCTTCCTTCCTTCCTTC